ATGACTCTTTGAGCAGCTTTAAGTTATATCATTCATTTCTGTGAGAGTTCACTGTGTAGTATAATGCATTCACTATAGTTCATAAACACTCTCTTGCCTTTCTTCCTCACATACAGATGTTATATATCTTATATATTTTAGTGTGTTTCTCTTCGTCTGTTTTTCCTTGTATTACTGTGCCTGTCTCAGATGTTTCTGCTTCTCTGTCATTGATTTCCTTCTCTTTGTCTCAGTTTTTGCTCTCATCATGTATATTTAGTTCATTCTCATGTTGTGTACAGTATGTCTCTCTGTCTCTTCCCCTCTACCGCTCATCATGGGGTTCTCTCCCCTCTCTCATCTGAGAAGCTGCCTTCTCTTTCATTCCAATCTTCAGTGGAGAGACGATGCTCTCGCTCCAAATCCTTTCATTTGGAGGATTACTAAAGTGTGGCTTGATATCAGAGTGGAGGGAGGACAGGAGGAGGAGGAAGAGGGAAGAGACAGAGCAAGGGAGCAGAATCATTATCCAAAAGTATCACAACATTTTCACACAGCAGTGTAACGAGAGCTCAGGCCATGATACGGTTGCTTATACAGTAGATTACATTAGATTAGATTAAAATGTGTTTGTTTCATATTTTGTATGGATACTGTGGCTTTCAGCTTGAACAAATGAAGAAAAAAGCATGTATGCACAGTCAGAATGTGGAAAATAAACACATTTCAAAACAATATACTGCCTCAATATTTTGACTTCTGTTACGTAAAGGTCCCAACAGTTCATGTGGCATTTAAAGCTTCTGGCTTTTATGGCTTCAGATCTTGAATATTTCTCTATAACATTAAATATTCGTGACTAAATAATTTTATGTATTATTTATTCATGTGATTTTTATAAGACTTTAATGCTCAAATAATTCAACTCAGCTATCAATCAGAACAAATTTAATTGACAGTGATCAAAAATCCCACGAGCTATTGTCTATTCTCCTTCAAATGTTGTTTGTTGTCACACTCTGATTGGTGCACAACATTGCCTTTTTCTAAATGAGCCCCGTCCACTTAGAAAACCAGTGAGAAAAGCATAGAAAATAAAATTAAATAAAGTAAATACAAGTCATGTGAAGTAACAACCTTGAAGCTTCTGTGGCTTTTAAACTGAGGTGTTTTCTACATTGTGTGTGATGTTGCTCTTACTTTGACATTTAGGTGACATTCACATGAGCAACTCTTACATGTCAAAACATAGACAACATTCTGTGTACGTCAGTGAGACTACATGGATTGGTTCATGGATCGGTCGTGTCACTCTGGATATCAGTATCATTGAAATGTCTACAGAGGAAAGTGTAGTTCCACATCTCCCCACTAGAGGTAGACCCAGGCTCATTGGAGCAGCTCCGGGGGTCCCCTGCAGCCAAAATCCCCCCTAGCCCTCCCCACCCAACCCCAGAGCAGGTGCCCATGTCTGGGCCTGTCTGGCCCCTCACCCCCTTATCTGATTAATACTACTAATCCAGGAGGTGTTCCTGCCTGCCCAAGAGGCGGGCCACCAGACTGGCCACTTTCTTGCTTGCAGTGACCGGGCCATGAGGCACGGTTATGGGTTACACTTTGCCAACAAGATCTCTTGGCGCTATGGGGAGGTGTCTTGAGCTCCAGCTTAGTTTTCTGTCCCTCATTATCTGCATCATTTAGACAGACTCATTTATCCTGTGTAGTATGTAATTCATATTCTGTAAATATTCCAAATCAAACCCTTCAATTGCACTTTTTCCCCCCAGCCAATCTCCTGGAGCATCACTACTACATCGAGAAACTCCATTTCTGTGAGGGTAAGTTCCCAACCGAGAAACTCAGAGTGACTGAAACAGTTTTATTCTTCATGTCCACCCGTTTGTGTGAGTATGTGGGGGCCCTAATCATCTTACCAGTGGATGACCATCTTCCAGAAATTGCTGTCCTACTCAGTCAACTGTCCTACTTCCTCTGTTCTCTCTCAATCCCCCCCCTCTTCCCCGCACACTCTCTGCTTTTCACCCAGTAGTGGAATACAAACACCCTTATCAGGAGACGAACACTCATCCCCCTGCCCTCCCCCTTCCTCATCTCTCCCCCGACCACCCCCACCCTCCACACCCTCATTTGCATGCATCTGTTTACCTCCTCTTCCCTCTCATTCTTAATAGAGAATCCCACTTCTTAATGGTTCGATTCAGTAAAGAAGAAAAGGGAGACTGTAAAATAAACAGATAGGCGAGTGATTGCACCGTATTGAAAACCGTCCTTTCCTTTTTTTTTTTCTAACACTGAACTTCATGTATGTGCGTGGGGCAGAAGCAGATGAACAAATTCAATTAGATGTTGTTGTTTTTTTCTCCATATCCTTTCCTCCCTCTGTTTAACCACTAGAGATGGAGGGGAAAAGGGAGGGCTGGGAAATTAAAATGAAGGGGCCTTGGTGCGGTACGTGTTGAGATATGTGCTGCTAACTGTAAGGTTGCATTTGGGAGATAACTCAACTCAAGAGCGCCAAAAGTCCTCACGATTAAATGTTTGCTTCTCCTCAAGGACCAGTCTGTGTGTTTTTGAAGGGACATTTTGCTTTCAGTAGAATATTTTCACTCCTTTAGTGCAGCTACATCAATCTGTAAGCAGCAGACTTCAGACCGTTGCTGCTTTGGGGATATGGTAGTCAGAAATATAAAATCAGTGTAGTTTCTACATAGTTATGGTTTCACATTGGAAAGGAAAAGGAAATGAGTGACAGAGCTGCTGGTACTAAGAGTAAGCAATGGAGATCACCACTGGCATACACTTATGTTTTGATCAGTTCAGTGGTTTCTGGCGCAGTGACACAGGGTGCAATGGGGAACCTTAAGGTCCTAATTGCTTTTGCACAGGATCAATATAATATAACAATATGTGGAACTTCTTACCCACAGACCTAAAAATATTTCATGGCATTTTAAACTCGAGTTGTTGTCATGAATGATCTGGTAATTGTCACTGACTTTTATGGTAATTATATTGTATTATTGTTTGTGTTTTATGCAAGTTGTTTATATATTTTTTTGTGTATTTTTAATGTCTCATCTAGGGACATGCATTGCAAACTAGCCAAGCCTATAAAGCTGCGGTACGTAGCGTTGATTCGTGCTGTATACTTGTCCCTATTTAAAAAGAAAATATTAAAGAAATAAATACTTACGTAAATAAATACTGTTGAGAATTGAATGTGTTCATGTGTAACACTAGTTATAACAGTGGAAAACTGACACTAGTGCTGCAATTAACAAATATTTTATAAATGATAAAACTTTTTAACTTTCAATTAATCAATTTCTTTTTTTCTATACATTGGCAGAAATTTGTAACAAAGTGCTTTTGATGACATTTTTAAGTTACTTGTTTTGTCAATCCAAACAGTCAAAAAACCAAAAAGTTATCAATTTACATAAATATGAAAACGGAGAAAACCATTAGATCATCACATTTGAGAAGCTGGAACCAGCAAATGTCTAATGTTCTAATGTTCTAATTGATTGAGCAGCTGGTCATTTCAGTACTAATTGAGACTCATGATTTGTCCCTGTGGTCAAACGTTGGAGAGGGCGACCGTTAATCTGTATACATTCAAGAATTGATTCAGCTTTGCAGCTCCATGTTTCTGCATGTCTTTATTCCACCTGACCATCTTGTCACCACCGTTCATTCCTCACGTTAGTTCTTTTCATACTTGGATCTCAACCAAGATATAAAGTTAAACCCTTTTACCCTTTCTGGTTTTTGGTGCCACATTCTTCTGAATTCCCATGGGGGCCTTTAAAAAAAAAAAAGAAAAAGATGTTTCCTATATGTGTGTGTTTTTTAAAAAAGTTCAAGTCACATGATCTTTAGATTCATGTTGTGTTTTTCCTCCGGAGCTCGAGGCCATTCGTGGACCCCCAGGAACCGCCGACCAGAGAAGCTACGCGATTCGCTGAAGGAGTTGGAGGTACCCGCCTCCTCTGTTAAACCCTTCACCACCACCCCTTCCAGCCCCCCCTCCCCCCACATCTTCTTCCTCCCTCTGGGGATTTTCGGAGTTTTCCCTTTCCGAAACGGCCGATTGATTAACAAATAGGGGCATTCTCTTTCTTTTTCTCCCTGTCGTTCCCGTTTGTTCTCCTCTCCCCCTCTCCTCTCTCATCACCTCTCTTTTGGCCGAACTCTGTCATCGAGGGGGATATTTGAGGGGATCAGGGGGGCTGCAGGCTGCCCCCTCATCCCTTCTCCTCCTCCCTCCTTCTCTCCCTCCTTTTTCCCTTCCTCTCCCCTCATTCATCCCTCTCTTCCTCCCCCCTCGTTCCCCTCTGTACTTGTGGCAGTACAGACCTAGCTTTGTTTGCTGGAACCTGTCTGAGGCTGTCACACACACACACACACACACACACACACACACACCCCATCCACCTCCTTCCTCTCACCCGTAACCATTGTCTGAAACTAGAAACACCCCAGCTCACCTCCACACCCCACCCACCCCCTTTTTCTCCGTCCCTCTCTCCTCCCATCCAATCACCCCAGCTGGGTTTGGAATGTGGCAGGAATGACTGACCTTATATATACGCACACACGCACACACGCACACACACACAAGCAGTCCTTACCTGCATCCTGTTCCTGCACTCTCTCCCACCCCTTCGTGAGCAGGAACTGGTGCAGTTGCCACCTGTGGTGGCAAGTGTCCGGCACTGTGTACCACCAAGATAATTAATGCAAGTATGAGCAGCACTAGCGTTACAAAAAAATGGAAAGTTACTGAATTGTTACACCAAGGTTTACTGTTTTACAACTTCAGTAGAGGCAAGCAGACACCACAGAACATGAAATATACATCTTCAGTCTGTTATCAAAAATGGCACATTTAAAGTACCTGTTTAAACCCAATTCTGTGTTGCTCTCAGCATCAGAACTGCATCAGGTCTGTGTTTCTGTGGTTCCTTGTTGCATTGGGTGCTTGGACCCCAGTTCACCTGTTTGTTCTTTTTTTTTTTTTTCTCTGTTTATCTTGCATGCTCATTCAGGAACTGTTGCAGACAAACACCTGCGTTCACACCAGATGGAGGAACAAGCATTGCTGCCAGGTACACACCCTCCTCAGCCGACCTCCTACTGTGTACACACACACACACACACGCACACACCTCTCTTTTCACCTCCCATGGTCCTCCACCTGACCAAGACTGAGAGCAGGCCTCAGATAAAGAGCTAAACTGGACTGTAAAACCAGTTACCAGGTGATTTCAAACTAATACGAAACATCTGAAATAATGTCGTCATTATTATAGAGTGACAGTTTTGAACCCTTAAAAGCTCGTTCTCTCGATGCTTGCCCAGGTAAAAAACAAGCCTCCCTTTTGGACATCAATAACAGAGCATGGCCAGTCTGAAAACCCTTATCATTTTTTTTAGATAGTATACCTGGTTTTAGTATCAAAGTCAAGTTGAGTCAATTTGTGGAAATTTGGAAACTGGATGTCTGTCTGGGTTAAATTGATAGACCTTATACGGATGATTATAACCGAATGTTTTATTTCTAATGCAGATTACCATCTAATTGATGTTTTGTATATTTATTACATGAATATAAAGTGATTAAATGGACATCTTTGCTATTTACTGAATTTTAATGACTATTTCAAATACAGTGCAGCTGCTTCAAATGCTTTTTTTAATTATTGCACAAATGTAATTACTGTAAAGTGTATAATTCATTTACAGTAATCCAGTATAGTACTTTATATAAAATATAGCTCACTGTAGTTCAAATCATAATTAGGCTACAGCCTATATAAAACAGCATTGTGCTGTTTAGAAATACAGTAACGTAGTGAAAATAGGTTACTAAGCCACATCTTGGCAGTGGTTTCAGTGCATTTCTAACTTCTAACAGGACTGAAAATAAACTGTAGGCTGTCAATTCCAAACTGGTTGCAGAGTTTGAAAACAAATGTATTCATAAAATATTCAGTTTTATGTCCATATGTTGTCATGTATGAAAAGACTGCTTGATTATTATAAGCAAATTAGGAATAATTCTGTCCCAAGCTTTTTCATCCATCGATAAGTGTTAAAAAATGTGCTTCAAGCGACTTTACAATATGTACATAATATGACATGCTCTATCAATTCACCCTCAATTCAGATCAGGAAAAACTCTCCCAAAAAACACTGGGAACTGGGAAATAAATGCCAGAAACGTCAGGCAGAGCAAAAGCGCAGAGATCCCTCTTTAAGGACAGACAGACATGCAAAGATGCTGCCTGTACAGATTATACCAAAATAGCAAAATTACAATATAGAAAATTAAGCACTTTCTGTCAGATGAATCCACAGATGCAATTTTGTGTTTGGGAACTGGGAACATTTGGCTTTGACTGTTAACTCTCATTGAGGAGTTAATTTGCTTAATTCAAGTTTAATGAGAGATGCCAACTTGATAAATTCATACAGTTTGAAAGTAAACCGTGTGTGTGTGTGTGTGTGTTTTACCTTGCAGGTGATGCTGAGCAGCGGGGTACTGGTGACCCTGACCCTAAATGGACCTCAGCTCGAACAAGTGTATCTAGACCGCACATTAGTGGGCCGACTACCAGCCAACACTGTGACTGATGGTTAGTTACAGACACACACATAAATCCTCTATAAATCAGTCTGGTGGGTCTGAGACTTATTGACCCTCAGTGTCTATTTAACATTAACCTTCAGGGAACTTGTTTTTTGCCTTTGGAATACAATATACACTTTTACTCTAATCCAGCATTGGTACCCAGTGCATTAAAGCCCTCAGACATTTCTGACTGTGGTTTTGGTTACTTTGGTGCTGCTGATGCTAATTAGAGCTGTTGCATAACCATCATGCCTAAAGTAAAGAATGTTTTCTCCTGGATTTTTGCCTTCACTGAATGAAATCATGATTTTTGTGTGACTTAATTATTCCAGAGCTTCACTGTGGTTGAAGCAGATTTAAGGGCACAAACATCATTGTTTCCACCACATGACTAGACTACCTATCTCTGCCCACAGCCACACACACAAACAATCAAATAAACAAATAACACATTTGCATTCAAATGTTTAGTATTTTTAAACCACAAAACAGCACAGACTGTGTGCTTATACCTGCTCACCACATTGTACGTTACCACACACATACACACGTTGCCCACTCTCCTCACCGCTTTGTCACGCAAACACACTCACACGCACGCCGCCTCACACACATAACAGGTGCCACAGGTGAGCGAGGCTACTGCTAGCTAATTGCGGGCAAATCCTTTTGTGCTGCGTGTGTCCAGGGGCCTTCCCTTAAGAGCATCCATCAGTGTTTTTCCTCCATCGCGCGTTCCTCCAGGGAGTACCGCCCCCCTCATACAGCGCTCCCTCGCTCCACAGACCTGGCAGGAGAGAATAAGGGGCCGTAGACACCGGCCCAAATCTGCTAATTATTTCTTTCTTTCTGTATCAATTATTTGTTCATAACACCGCCCTCCCTGCTTCCGTCCGGGGTCTCCAGACACCTGATAAAGCCCCCATAGTGCATACACACACACACACACACACACACTCTCACACACACACACTCGTTCTCACTTGCGTACATATGTAATTACAGAGGCACAGACTTTTTTTTCCATATAAAGCAACAAGCACTTACTGTATGTTCACTCACATTTACAGGCACACAGAGACTAGAACACACATGCACACACCCACGTACACAATGGCACATACTGAGGCACACACACACACACACACACACACACACACACACACACACACACACAGGTACACATACACCCACTCACCTCCCGCTGCGCTCCATTCAAAGCCTCAGAGGCACTAATTATTAGAGTAATGGTTGTGAGAGGGTGGGTTTCCGGGGGGTGTGTGTGTGTGTGTGTGTGTGGTGGGGGGGGGGGCTGTTCTCACATCTGTCACTTGTTAAATTAGCCTGAGACAATTAGAGTAGAGAGCCAGACCAGAGCTCACTGTCGAACACATTTACAACGTACAATTACTGAAACAGTTTACTATTACAATCAAGGTGTGTGTGTGTGTGTTGTGACATGTTATGTAGAAGTGTCTTATTGTCGTCTGCATACATTTGAATATTCAATCACTACTATGTCACAGCAATTAAAGTCAAACATAGGGCTGCAACTAATGGTTATTTTTTATTATCGATTAATATAATCTGCCAATTATTTTCTCAGTTTATCGTTAAGATTATGAAACATCAAAAAGTTGTGAAAAAATGCTCATCACAGCTTCATAGAGCTTAAAGTGATGTACTTGCTTGTTTTATCTGACCAACAGATCATAACTGAATCAACAAATGTCTGAAACGATTTACTCAGTTATCAAAATGGTTGCAGATGAAATATCTTTCAATCAATTATTCGAATAATCATTTCAGCTCTAGTCAAATATTAAATTAAAAAGGTAAGACTGCGTAATGACGGAGACTTTCCTTACATATTTGGAACAGGATTTGACACCTTCCTAAAACAAAAAGGTTCTCAATATTTGGATGCTGAAGAAAATCCCCTTTTAGATTTGCATGGATTTAACTGAATGTAAGGCCTTGTATGTATATTTGCCTCTCTGAGACAACAAGCAACGGCAGCCAGGTCTGTTTTTGTTTCACGTAGTGAGAAAGCAGGCTTACTGTCCTCTCTTAAACTTTGCATCCTCAGTGCTGGTTACCTTCCCGTTTCTACCATGAGCTCTGATTGCATCATACACAGCAGTAGATTACACATATTTTACACCATCAAAGTATTACTGGCTTCCTTTGGCTGATGGCTGGGCCAAGCTGTGCATATGCTCCACGATTAAGCATCCTTAAGTGATTTTTCATAGCCGGCTTCATTTACCCATGTTTAAATGTGCTTTGGTTAAGCCCATTGGCCTCTTATGTCAACATGGTGCTGAGAAGATGGCATTAAATGGATTTAGAGGGCCGTGTGTGTATGTGTGTGTTTCTGTTTGTGTATGTTAAAGAGACCGTTTGCGTGTTTTAAATGTGGTTGGTTGGTTTTATGCTTGTGAATGTGATTGCATGTGTGTAACTGAGAATTCATAAAGCATGGTAGCAGGGTTGCATGTATGAATGTGTATATGTAGCTATCTGTGCCTAGAGATGTAGATGTATGCGGTGTGTGTGTGTGCGTGCGGTTGTGTAGGGGTGGGTCATGAAGATCTTGCCCTTAATGCCAAATCAGCCACCTGGTCCCAGATTGGGCCACAGCCTGGTTTCCTATCTCTTCCTTCATTTGGGAATGAATGGGATTAAACCTAATCCCGTTTATAGACACCCATAGAGATCAATACTAAACTGCATTTAACTTGATTTGTCTGTAATCTATTACAAAGACGCTTACTATTGCATTAAACGTTGTTTCGGAAAACCAAGGCATCGTTAATGGCTGTATTTTTTTAATGGTTTAAGCCTTGAACCGGTTTTTATTACAAGTGCTTTATAATCCAACTTCAACATAGGGACAGACTGACTCAGTTGACCTGATTTAAGATGCTAGTTTTCTGTTTTTTCAAGTGATGTTTCACTTCCCTTATGAATATTTGCATATTAATTTGAAATGTTCACACAGCAGGATGATTTGAAGCGTAATCATACCAATACCCGCACGTTTATAAATACACATGCCACGGTTAATTGGCGGTTAGATTTCTAAATCTCGGGTACAGCCTTACTCGTTCAACTCAAAGCAGGATATCTGAGAGACATGTGTAACAACCCCCCCTCCTTTCCATTTAATTGGTTTCATAAACAGATTAATTTGAAGGAGAGGAGGGCTTAATTGCTAATCAGCGTTTCCATGCAGCTCCTGAAGAGTTGAACAGGATCAAGTGTGTTCTTCTACCACAAAAAGCCTGCAGTACACTGACAGGGGAAGAGAGAAGAGAACAGGGGAGGAAAGAGATACAAGGAATACAGGACACAGTGGGAAGAAGAAGAGAGGATGCGGGAAGGTGGAGAGAAATTAGGTGAAACGAAAACAGTTTGAGAAGGAAGGGAGTTGGGACAAAATGTGAGACTCAGAAAGACTGAAACTTCTGTTCTCCCACTACAAACTAATGTAAAATAAATTATACAGCAGAACAGGGACAATGATAAAAAATAAAATAAATTCATTAATACTGCTTCATAAAGTTATAAACTACAATACCTGTATTCAATAACTAAAATCTTCATTCATTCCCCTTGAAAGAACTCTTCTGAGTTTGTAAATCCAGAAAGATTTCTTAATGTCAACCCCTCTGGATCCCACATTGACCTTATCAATACCAATAAAAGAATAATCTATCCATGAATGTTTGGCCTCTGAAAAGTGTCTGGCTACTGGGTGTGTTAGCTCCATCAAGAAGGGGAGACCTCCTGGAAGTTAAAGGCTATCAGAATATAGAAACCTCCAGAAAACGTGTGAATCATTTTAGTTTTTTTATTAAAAACTGATTTCACATTTTTCCATGTTTCCTAATTTCTATTTCAAAGTATCCTAATCAGGGTCTGAAATTAGCACCCGCATCCCACTAAATACAGGTAAATTGTTGGCAGTTGCGGGTAAAATCATTGGGCCAGCCACCATTTCACCGGACACGGAAAATGCACAACAGAAAGACACATGTAGTAAGGTTAGCATATTGTGGCGATCTGCGTCTCTCACACACACACACACACACACACACACACACACACACACACACACACACACACACACACACACACACACACACACACACACACACACACACACACACACACACACACACACATACCAAGTGTTGTATTAAAACAAAATGAATGTTTTTTGTTTGAATGATTGAATCCAGGAGAGGAGGTTTTTGTGGAGATTTGAACATAGATAAGGTAAATATTTTGAACACTGAATGACAACATTATTTACATTAATTGATGCCTACATGAGCTGGATTTTATTCCTTCATTTAGCACATACATTTATATGTAGCAGATAGGGCTGACCCCCAATAGTAGAAGATTCGATGCTTCGATGGGTGGAGCCTGATTCGCCATTTTGGCAATTATGGGGGTGCTCATCGTCTGATTTTACATAGAACTACCAGTTTTCTCCCAGTAAGTTAATATACAGCCTATTACAATATACATTTCAACGTTTAATGCTGTAAATAAATATCTAAAAGAATAAAACTTTCAATAAATATTTTTAAAGTGTGTAAATAAATCCAAAATTGTAATACAAACGTGTGTGTGTGTGTGTGTGTGTGTGGCGGAAGAGGAACACTTGCTGAAGAGACTGAGACCCGGCGCTGGTCTTTCGGATAATTTCACGTCAATGAACCACACAAAGAATATTTTATCGTTTTTAAATAGCCGGCTACTTCAAATAGACCCGCGAGGAACTGCGACGTGCATTTAGTTGTCGGCAGCAGTAATGCACATAAAATTCTGCTGAAGACCGGTGAATGACAGATGTCGAGAGAGAGAGAGAAAAGGGTCTTTTTACAGTGTAAGTTGAATGAATAGAGACTGCAGCTCTGCAGCTTCTCAAGATTAAAGTGGAGCTACCCTGTGTAACCCCCAATTGCCGTGCACAAAAACACACATTATTCGACTATCAGTCGACTATAGGCAGGACTTGACGATTCTGATTTGACTATGTAAATCCTTAGTAGCAGACAAAATAATACTGGCAAAAAAATACTTGCCTGCCACAGCGGCAGGCAGTGAAAAAACTTAATTACAAATCCTAATTCAAGGCATCATATTTACGTAACAGTTGTAAGATGGATGGAAACTAAACTGTGTATGTGTTGATATTTTGTTCTCACGATTTATGGCTTTGTAAGGAGACTATGAACTCTTTACAGTAAGTGTCACCTCAACAATATACAGTTGTTTTTTTGTTTTGAATCAAATCTTGTGATGTCATTCCTAGCGGTGCTGAGCGATAGGCTGATTCTGCTGTCATTCCTGGAGCAGAGCCAAGTGGCTGCAGTCTACCTCAACCAAAAGAACCAGGACTCCCCAGAGACTGGCAGACGAAGAGACAAACTCTCACCCTCTGAAATCAAGGTACAGTAGAACACATTCCTGGAGTGTGCATGAGTAGTGTTTGTGCTTCAGCGTGCGTGCGTGTGTGTGTGTGTGTGTGTGTGTGTGTGTGTGTGTGTGTGTGTGTGTGTGTGTGTGTGTGTGTGTGTGTGTGTGTGTGCATTTATGAAAGAACAGTGTTAACATGCCATCTCATATCTCTTAATTAATTTCTACCTTTATAAAATAACTATTAGAAACATGGTATAAAAGGTAGAATATGGTGGCCTAAATAAAAATATCTGTAAAATCCCAAACATACTAATCCTTTGCAACCTTTGAATCCAAGTTAAGAAGGGTCTTTGCTTGGAAACTGACCTTTTCACCAACCACTTAAACAACCTACTCTGTGTTAAACTGTAACAATATTGGCTGTTAAATTAACTAGCATTACTGACGTACATGCAAATGAGGACTTCAGACACATCACTTTTCTAAGGTTTATCTTATTTGCTAGCAAACCTGGGACAACTACAAAAACTGCTTGAAATTAGCGAGGATGTCACTGGTGAGTTCAGCAATTAACTAGTTAGCTACCCCCGATCAGAATCTATCCTTGATACTATTTCCATGTGGATTATTGATGCCTCTACACATAATATCCATTTGACCTAATACAATCTATAGTTGTGTCATGAGTGTTTGTACAGTTGCTGTTTGTGTCTTTGTGCACAACAGGTGCACACCGTCTGAGTAGGTTCAATGTAGTCATCGTGGGATTATGGGCATTTGATTTAAAAGTGCCAGGTCGCCTCTAACTCTAAACACCTTTCCCGTTTCTGTCCATCCTGTCCATTAATCTCTCATAAAGGTGTGTATTGAGAGGCAGTCTGATCTGGAGGTGTTTTTGTAGGTGTTAGTAACAGGTCTGATTATGTGCCGTCCTTTTCTTCCATCCCCCAAAAACAAAACTACACTGTGTCCTCCTTCACTAGCTGGCTAACCGCTAACCCTGGCATTATCACATTACTGCCAGGCCCTTTTGTTAAGGTGGGTGTGGGTGTGTGCGCGCGTGCATGTTGGTGTGTATAAAAGCAGTCGTTCCTGTCTGTCTCCAGAAGCAGAGTCCTGATAAGACACCCCACCACCACCACCACCTAATATTGTACACCCCACACTTCTGTCAATGCATGTGCATGCTACCTGCAACATACACATTTGTGCACACGCACGCACAACTACCCATCCCCCACAACAAACACACACATGCACAACCACATACACATCGCCCTGGTCCAGTGGGCTAAGCTGGAGAAGGGAGAGTGGCGGGCGTTGAGGGGGGGCTAAACTAATCCGGCCCACAGAAAGTGGTTTTTGATTATTGCTGACCAGCAAACGCCAGCAGAAAAAAAAGACTAGAAGAGGGAAGAGATGGGTAGGGATGGAGGGATGGAGGGGGCAGGTAGGGGGGTAGAGATAGAGTGTGTTATTAACCCCAGTGATTTTCAGATTTTTTTCCTTCTTTTCCATTTCTAATCTGTCAGTGATCTCGCGTTCAGCTGTTTGGAGCAACTCTTTGTTCCCGTTATCATCAGATGTACTTCCATCATTTTAATTCGTCTCTGTATTTTGTGTCCAAAGCAAATATCCTCCCCAAGGGGGCAAGAAGGGCAGACATGGACCACTGAACCTCAAATCTGCTCTATTCATACAGTGCAGCTTGTCGATTTACTAATTTCTGCATGTTTCTGTGCTTTTAAACCAATTCCTTTTAATAAACATTTGTAAAGAGACAGTCCTGTATTCCTGGTTTTACAACCTGCCTTTCTGTGAGGCCCCAGCCACTCCTCTGCACTGTGACAGAGGTCTTGGATGTGTGTGTGTGTGTGTGTGTGCGCGCGCTAATGTCTGCGTGTTAGTGAGTGTGACCGGAGATATAGAGTATATGAAAGGCCGGAATGATTGTGTGTGTGTGAAAAAGAAATAAACTGTGGTGTACATGAAAGGCAGGGTCACAGTGTAAGACCTGCAATTTCACCTGATTTAAAAGTGCTTTAATGGTGTGTGTGTGCGTGTGTGCGCATGCTGTTTACACCAGTGCCTCTACATGTATGTACATGTGTATTTGTGTGCATACATGCATGCATTTGTGTGTGTGTGTGTGTGTGTGTGTGCGCCCTCCCCCCCCAAGCGCCACGAGAGCTCATTACTGTGCGTCTCTTTGTTGTGGCCCGTAGAGCGTGGCGGACCTTCCCAAAAATATGCACATCACTAAAACAAGAAGCCCGACAGAACAAAACACACACGCACATTAATAATGGAATATAAAAAAACAACCTTAGACACCAACAAAAACAGGATGGGAAAAGGACAGGAGAGCGATGTTTGGGGCTACAGACATGCAAGTTTCAGAGCCCTCAGGTGTTCACGCCAGGCAGGTGAATCCAAATGGGTGTATCACTAAGATACCCTATAACTTCCCCTTCTTCATAAGATATGTTTTAACTCGTTGCGTCTGCAAGTATTGATCTTTATACCGTCTCACTGTACTGCCCATTTTGTCTCTCTTCTCAGTGCATCCCCTGCGCTTGTGTGCGTTTTTGTTTCCATGTCCAGGTGGTGTGTGTGGACGTGAGTGGGCGGGGTCGTAGGCTCCACAGATGCGTGGGTCTCAACCGTCTCCAGGATGTGGTGCTGTGCTGGTGGAACCTGGACTTGCCCGGTGATGAGCTCTGGCCCTGGACTCCCACAAAGACGGACAGGAACAACCTGGTCTTGCTCAGCTGCTCACCTAGTGAAGGCCTCAAGGTACACACAGTCACGCAATATAATACTTGCATATCAGAGACAAATTCCAACCTTTCACCACAGTAAAAGCAGTTGCAACACAACAAATCAGGTGGTGAATGACAACAATCAATCACCAGGACATTATTCACTGTAATGTAGCTACTTCATTTGAGAGTAAAGGCTATTCATACAAGAATAAATGAAGCAATACTTTTTAGCAAATTAAGTTATTATTGACTTTCATAGTACACTCAGAAAGTATGTACCAGTAAATTCTGCATTTATAAAAAAGACCCGGCGAGAACAGTTGCCAGGTAAGATAACTGTAATTGGAATCATGGATCAACCCTTTCCCTTAACAAGCACACTGGAGGAGTCGTTACAGTTTTCTCATCCAGCCTACTTGTGTTTTGTTGACTGCTGAGAAAGTTTACAACCTTGTCCTCGTGGAGTTTTGTTTAGTTTTTTTTATGATTTGATTTCTCAATATATACAATCGAAATCACATACACTTCTCATTTCAGCAAAACAAATCATACAACACCACCACACATTTACCCACATATAAAACAAACAAGCTCAGTAAATGAAATATGTGAAGTATAAATAAACCTACTTCATATACACTTGGAATACAGTTCATCTCTATTGGGGAACCCACTTCAGGATCAGGAACTTTAGATTGTGATCAGTTTGTTTGTTTGTAGCAAGATCTGTGTCGATATTCCTGTTTTGGCTTGTTACAGATTCTGTGATTATAGGAATTCGCAGCAACCCATCAATTTATAAAAAAATTGGAAATACTCCCATACCCTTGTTTGGAAGCGAATTTCTGCCCAAAATCAAAAGAATTCAAGTATAGTTCACAAGTGACAGTAAGATGTAGGGTATGTGTTAGCAGTTGTGCAGGTGTTATACTGAGCTGTCGTAGTACAGAGGAAGTTGAGGCTGACGGTAAAGCTCCCAATTTAACAGTTGATCTACATATATATTTAAAGCAATTTAGGACATCCAGAAGGAGCGTGAACTTGAACCATTGTTTCTTCACATTGAAAGTCATCTGATCAGGATGCTTCCTAGTCACCTTATGGACGTATTTTGGGGCACTTCCAACAGGAAGGAGACTCCAGGGCAGACCCAGAACACATAAAGCAACACAGACCTAGATTCGTGACAGAAACCAGATTGATGGATGAAAGAATGTAGAATTAACTAGGGATCAGTGAAAAATGTTTGAATCTTGATTTCACATAATGCCTTTGCTGTGACCTTTTTTTTAAAGAACAGAGAATTACCTCGCACATCTGTAATGTGAGACAGGTGCGTCAGAGGGGGATGAGTAGGTCAGGAGTTGCGAAGAAATTGTCTTACTTAAGAGCTGGCAGCATTTCCGTACTAGACCTTCATCAGGCAAAAATGGCAAAAAAATTGCTTGATGAAGGTCTAGTATCGAAACATTGCCAGCTTATAAATTTATTTTTGCAAGTTAGATAGCGTGCGGGAGTTTCTTTGCTACTTGTGATCTTTTTAACCCATCACTCTCACACAAAAGTGTCTTGTTCATTAAAGGAAAATCCCATGTTACAAAGTGGAGGCAGAACTTTTTCTTTCGATTTCTTATTAATTTTGGCTATTTTAGGAATTTAAACAATATGATGTGAATATTTGCATTGTAGAAAATTGTTGAACATCTATCAAAAAAGGCCATTGAAGTGACGTATACTTAGGAACACAATTCACGTGCTTGTTGCCACCTTTCGCCACCTTAAGCAGTTGATAATGTAAAGCCCATGGAGGGGGGGCAGCTCTCATTAAAAGCATTTCTCATAAGATCTCAGAGAGAACAACCCCAGCTAATCTAACAAATAACTGTATTGATTAAATGCAGTAAACAAAATAAGTAAAGAAATAAAACAACAAAGCATAAAACTGCCCATGACTTTTAGGTTTTTTAATATCTTTCAGTGTTGTTTGAAGCCTTAAACCCAGGACACATCATAACTCCAGCAGTTTATTTTTTGTATTTTTGTACACACACTCAGGTACTCTCACACACACACAGTGAGGACAGTGAAAAAAGCAACAAAGCTGCTGTTTTGAGTGGAGACCTGTGTTGTCGGGGATGGGATTGGGGATGGTGTGTTAGTCACCTCAAGGGTGGCACCTCTGTGTTGCACCTCCGTGCATCACCATATGAAATAAGAAGGAGAGCTAAGCCGTGGTACAGCGTGAAGGAGAACGCCTACACATTCTCACACACACATGCTTAGACGCACATCCTCATGGCCTTTGGCAAAACCCTACCCGTGACCCGATTCTGTGTCAACGTAGGATTGGCCTCATGCCGAAAGCAGATGAAAGATCAAAAATTACCGAACCGGGCTTAACTCTACTCCTCATACCACGTACCTCTGCAAGCAAATGCAAAATTTTCACCACACCAGAGAGAGAAGGGAGAGAGTCTGTGAGAGGGAGGAAAGATGAGGGTGACAAATTGCATGCTAGGAAAACAAAATAACGCAGGAGAGAATAAGGGAGGGATGGGAGCTAGGGGGGGCACTTGAATATTGAAATAAGCAAAGCAGATGTTGTTCGCTGCTTTTTCCGCTTCTTGTTTTTGGAACGCTCTCGACATTTATCACACTCCTTTACCTAGTTTATTCTCCCTGTCTCCGTCACCCCCCCCCCCATCTCCTCCTTCTCCTCCTTCTTTCCTCCACGCTTCAAGAACATTAAAGTCTCTTCGTGGGGCTGCGGCATCGCGCTCTAATGAAAGCGTTTGTTGTCATTTTTCAGATGCGCGGTGTGAAATTAAGCGAGCAGTTTATGTAAGAGCCGTGGCGGGAATCAAACGCTGGGCACACATCGGGAGACGCCAGCTACTTCAATCACTTCAAGCTCATATATATGTTCCTTTTGTTCAGTTTGCTATCTGCCGCACTAAGCCAATTTTCTAGCCAGTCTCTCGGCATTTAAAAAAGTCTGATTTCTTTCCCTATGTGGTCTTAATTCATATGCCCCCCCTCCTCATGCTGATAAGTGGAGCCACGGCACGCAGGGGGTGGAGGGTGGGAAGGAGAGAAAAACACATACATAGTTCGTTTTTATGCAGCCAGTTAACATTTTTAATTATCATTCCTTCATGCTTCCTTCCCCTAACCCCCCCCCCCAACAAACACACAGACGCACACAGACCCAAACCATGTCCCTAGAATTAATAATCTTAATGAAAAGAAAACACCAGCTGAATGTTTTCTTGCTTTTTTAGTCATATTTGATTATTTGTGCTTGTATATGTGTGTCTGTTTGTGAACAGCCTTTTTTTGATTTTGTTTATTTTAAAGCACATGACTGTCCTGTTATCTGTCACCAAACAGTTTCTCTGCAGTTGCTTGATCTGCATTTGTGTGATGTCTGTTGTCTTTTAATTATTGTTGACTTGAGCGCTGAGCTGCATTGTATTTTTCTCTTGCAAAACAAGAAAAACCTGAACTTATTGTCAATGAAAGACCACTTTCAAATGAAATAATTTATATAGGAAGAATATGTAATTGCATAGAAATATCTTTATCTCCTCCACAACTGCTATGATTACAAGTGTATTAGAAGCCAAATTAACAGTGTAAATTGGGCAGTTTTGCCTCTAAAACAAAAAGCTGCAGTGTTAATTTGCAGAATTAAAGCATGTACAGTAGAAGGCACATTCTCAGCAATGCACAGCGATCATAATTTGGACCATGAAAGGGTCGGGTGTGGAATCCAAAGTGTAGAATTACCCCCAAGCTCCACTGCTCTGCAAAAATCTCTCAGGAAGCACTGCTGCTACAGTTTCGGGTCTAGTGAGTAATTATCCCTCTGTACTACAATTATGTTCAGTGGTACAAATTATGACAGTTTGAGGAATATTTTGATTAGTAATCCCGCTGTGCCTGTGCATTTCCTCACATCAGTACCTCAACACTAACCCTAATTCATACACCTAAAACTTCCCAGTACTCCCTCCCTGAACACCGCTCATCCCTTCATCCCTCCACTTTCCTTCGAATCCCTCTGTCTCTCTCTCTCTCTCTGCCCGTCTCTCCCTGTCTTTCTCTGCTCCGTGAGCTGGAAAATTGGCTTCAAAAGGCCACTGCTGTGAACAAGGGCCAGCCACACAGTTGGGCCCGTCCGCTTTATCTTTCAAGCCACGGAGGGGGAAAAAGGGTGCTGGCGAGAGAGAGACGAGAAGAATGGAGAAGAATAGTTTTGACCAGTCACTGAAACCAATAACCAGGAGAAAGCTACTTACTAGAGGCCTCTCTCTCTTTCTGTCTGTCTGTCTCCGTCTCTCTCTCTCTCTCTCTCTTTGCTCTCTTTGCATCTTTCCCTCCACATCTCCTCTCCTGTTTCTCTCTCTCTCCTCTCTCTTTACTTGCATTCTCAGTCTTTCTCATCATCTTTTGTGCATATTTCTTTAAGTCTGGATCCCTCTCTTTTAGTCTCTCTTGCACATCCTTTCACTCACTTGCTCGCTCCCTCTCTTGACCTTATTCATCATTTTTCTATTTTATGCTCCCAGAACCAGGGAATACAGTATGTTCACGTGCCACAATGTACTCTAGAGTTCACAGGCAAACAAAGCTGTGCTTTTATGAATATATTAAAATGACATGTGCATACTGTATTCCAGAAGTCATTCCTCTACACTACTAGCTGTTGTTTTTATTAGAGTTCATTCATGTAGCAGCATACTCATTCTGGCCTGCTTTTAGGTAGCATTTGTATTTAACATCCATGGTTGGTACACCCAAAAAAATCATACAGCCAACTGAACATTAGTTTTAGACTGATCTTAAATGATGCCTGGTTAGCTAAATATCTGTGTGTAAGAGTTAATTCATTAATCCGCTAGAGATAAATCTATATGTCATCATCCATCCGATGTCTCGTCATGCTTACGGTAGCATGAGTGTTTGCAGTGTAAGAGTTTATGTTTTGAAAGATTCAAACCCCATAACCCTGAAAGTCTTGAGTGCCATGCTCTAATCTCCTAATCAGCTGTGTTGCATTCAGGGCCGTTTTGCTTGCCTTTGCTCAGTCCACATGGAATATAAAAGGAGGCACAGCGTGGCCTTAGAAATGACACAGAGTCAAAATGTTGCTGTGCTGACAGTGGTAAATGTTGACTGGAAATATGCAGCTGGGTCGGAGAATATGCAGGTTTTGCTGTGCATTTTCTGTGTCTTCTACTTTAGCATTATTGAGATGTGTATACACTGCATGCCTTTTACGTATTGCCCTTTTATAAAATACTCAAAAGGCACTGCAACTAGACAGTCATGGTCCAAGTCCAGTTGAGCTCAAGGTTTTTTTTATGTGAAAAATCTTACATGGGTTGAATGTGTGTCCATTCACCCACTTCATAAATGTTTTGGTTTTTTGTATGTGTCAAAATAAAAACAAGACTGAAAACTGGTCTTAAACTCTTTGAAATATTAACTGTTGCAGGTTGAAACAGGCCATGTCATATTTACTCGTTGCCTCTGAGCTACGGCAGAAACTCTCCCCCTTCTCCTTTCCTTGGAGGGTCACCTATCAGGGGAGGCAGAGCTGAATCAGCTGCACCTCATCCCCGATGGTGCCACGGTGGCATGCTGGCACAGCGGGCACTAGCAAGCCGGGCACAGGATGAAAAGCTGAGAGGATGAGATGTGTTGGGGAGGGGGTCAGGGTTTGTGGAATTGAAGTAGGTCTTATGATTCCTGTGACAGCATTCTGTGGGCTGGACTCGACGGACCCTCGTCTGCTATGCGTTTGTGTGCAAGTTTATTTAATGCATGTATCACTTTGTCCCTGCAGAAATGTAGCTATCAGAGATCTGCACCCTCCTAAGGATACCCCACCCCTTACATGAATTGAGCCCCTCTTGCCTGCTGCCTCAAATAAACAAACACACACACACACACACACACACAGCACCCACCCCCTGGGGAGCAGCAGGAGCTAGCTCTGGGGGATTATGGAGAGGAGAAAAAAAAGCTTTCAGGAGGACAGTCATCTGCTTCTCTCCTGCTGTAGACCATGGGCAGGCAAAAAAACTCCTCTCTTCCTCCCTCTAAGTCCCTTTTTGGCAATGCCTGCCAAAAAACTGGGCCGGGCAGCTTTGTGAAAGGAGAGGAAGGCAGGCAGCAGCAGATCCCTCTTTCTGTCTGCACGGCGAAAAGAAATGGGCTCATTTAGCCAAAGCTGCCACGGTCAATGCAGGGCTCTGATAGAGGCTTTGGTAAGGTGAAATCCCTCCTAAAAAGCTCTGTTAGTGACTGTGGAACTGTTGGGCTGCTGTTTAGTATAGGCTGTTGTCTCCTGTCATCCACCTACTGTTCCTGGTTCCTTGTGGGTGTTTTATCGACAGTGCCACCCGTGACATGGCCTATCTCCGTCAGTGTCAATGCTGCCTTGCTTAGCAGGGCCATTGTGCCTACTCCCCCCAATTTACTGTGGTTCAGGAGCGAATAATCAAATTTCTGGATTTGACCATCAGTCAAATAATCCCAAGCTTTCTTCATGTATCATCCTCTTAATATTTAAAAAAAGGTATGTTTCCTGTCATTCATGATCTCTAGCGTTGAGCTCTTGGCTTCTCACACAGGTAAACAGAGGGGGTTGTTTATCGCTGGGCGCTGGGTGCCAAGCCGTGGCATGCTCAGGGAGAAGATGTTGTTGACCTTGAGTTAAAATGGAGCTCTTATCATTAGCTGTCTTGATTGACAGCCGTGTGTTTATGAGCAAAGTGGAAGGCTCCATTTCTTCCATCTCCAGGGGGTTTGTGGCTGCTGCCATGGTATGACTCATTTCTGTGTCTCTGTCTTTCTCTCACGTGTTCTCTCTCGCTCTCTCCTTCCTTATCCTTATTTTATTCAAAAAGCAGGTTATTTTATGAACAGTACTTAAGAATATTCCAATTCCTAAATAGAAGAACATATTTAAACAACAAAATTACGAGATCCAGTCATGTGGCTGATGCAATGTATAGTGACACTTAATGACTGAGGGCACACTGGCTGAATCCTGCCTCTAACCACTCCAGTATCAGATACAAGGAGGATTCAAAACAGAAGATATAGAGCAGTCAAAACAAATTCAATTAAGTCTATAGACTTTATCTGAGTTTGAGTGACTTGTAGTGAAGTGTGATGTATTTTTCCCACTTTACAACCATAATTGAAAGTTTAACATACAAGTCTGTGTTATGCTCACTGGTTGTAAATATTATGACTCAGGGATTCGTAGACTGTGGGCCTCCCATCAGAGAAAGCTTGTAAAAGGATGCCCCCGGCACTTACAAAACCTCTGTTCTGACTTATTACCAGATTTCTTTCTACAGTATGTCTAATGGCCCAAAATACTGAAAGGAGGCATCACCCCTTAAATCAAGAGTCCTTGCAGCTTCTGTTGCTTTTTTTAAGCAGAGCAGTGCTTTGTGCAAAATGCTAACATCAGCATGCAGTTAAGCAGGTTCTACTGTTACTCTCATAACAAATAGTTAATGTTAGCAGTTCTTGTCCTCCTACCCAGAGAAGAAAAACAGTAAAAATACAGGATATGTTATTGTGCATTGTTGGATCAGATTAGATCACAGGGAGGATGTTAAGTGGGTATCAGTTAAATACTTTGAAATAATTCTCTCTTCTAATCAACATTTGCTCCCTCTGAAAGGTCCTCAGCTCTGTCCGGACAGAAGGTAACCCCTTGGACTGCCGCTTCAGCCTGCTCCAGCCCTACCAGCTGCTAACCGTAGAACTACCTGCAGGACCCCAAGGATTCAGAGAGGGCTCCTGGGCTGACACCTGTGTGTACGAATGTGCACGACAGCGCCTGCACCGACTGTCTGTCACCCGCATCCCGCTACCATCCCATCCCGTCTCCTGCTCACGTCACCCCTCTGAGACCACACTTGTCTTGGGCTTAAGTGACTCCTCCCTGGTCCTGTATGACCAGCGACGGGGGGTCTCTCTCCTGGCCTCCTGCCCTGTGACACCCACCCTCCTCACTTGGCACCCTGCTGGGGCCGTGGTCGTGGCAGGGGGAGGGCAGGGGGAGCTGATGTGCTTTGATGTGGGGTTGGCACCTATAAAAATGGCACTGGTAGCAGAAGAAGTAGCTTCAGCTGCCACGCTAAGATTATCTCAGCACCTGCGCTGCAGTGGAGGACTGGAGGGACTGCAGTGGGGGACAGGCCTGGAAGGAGGTCCAGAGGGGACAGATATCCTGATGCTGGTCTTTCACGGGGGACCACTAGCAGCCTTGAGATTCAAACTAGGTGGGTAAAATAAGATTCAAAAATACAATTTGAAAAACAAATTACTCTTATAAACTGAAAAAATGGGAGTTGGAATATTTGTGGAATAGAAACCAAAACTTAGGGCTGCAACTAACTATTGTTTTCTCTGTTGATTTAATCTGTTGATTAGTTTTCAGTTACCTATTACTATAATTGTTTGGTCTACAAGATGTCATAAAACAGCCCATAACAAGTTCCTAAATCCTAAGGTGAGGTCTACAGATTGTTTGCTTTGTCCAACCCGAAGATGTTTATTTTGCAATTACATAAAAAAGCTGGAAATCATCACATTTGAGACGCTCAATGCAAATATTTGGCCACTTACATTGATTATTTCAGGAGTCCCCAACAATGATTTGTGCACAAAAACACTAGAAGTTAAATATGTTGAGCAAACATTTGAGAAAGAATCTGAAACTAAAGAAACTGAAACTACATAAACTAGACTTTTAATATTATGTCTTAGAGTGATGCAGTTATACTACTTCGATTTAGAGAATGACTAGAGGAATCCGGGGAGAGGCTGCACCCCCAAACCCCACAACAAGCAGATATAAAATGTCTTTTCCTTCTCCGGACATATATAGAAACAGAACAGGACAAACATTTTCATAACCCTCCACACCATCATAGTAGTCTCTTCCTAATGAAGGAGCCTTCCTCCCTTCAGAGCCTCTTCCTCTGTTTTGGATCTGACACTGTATCTGAACCCCACTGTGTAAATATGGCTGCTGAACGGGTCGACCTCTTCACTGCCGAGGGAAGTTAATTTGTTGACGGGCGGGAAGGTGAGCAGGAGTCACGCTCTCAGAGGTCATTCAATAATCGCCCCGGGGCAAGAGCCCCCCAGGTGAATTCTGGGATGCATTTTTCCGATAAATCGTTTACAGTGGCTGTGCAGTCCCTCGGGGCCCCCAGATAAAGTTTGCCAATCAAAATGTTTCCGAAGCAGCCACCTCACCCTCTAACACATGCATACACAAACCTGCACACAAATACACTTGTACAGTCTCACACACACTCACACACATTCAGCTTCTTTAATTGTGACTTTGGAAAGAAGATGTGACAGTGGCGCACAGCTCTCTGCGGAAGTTTGAAAGCAGTAGTGTGGGGGTGGATGGAGGAAGGTAGAAGACTGTGTACGTTTGAGTTTGTGTGTGTTTGACTGTGTGTATTCAACTGTGTTTGCACAGGGACAGGGGAGGGTGTCTTCCAACAATAGCTTCCCCTCCTCTGATCGTCTGCCAAGGTTTTGATGAAGAAAGTCACTGCACGTCTTTTCTCCATGATAATTCTCCCCCCCCACACTCACATGTGTGTATTCTTCTATTTCTGTGCTTCTATGCACACACACACTCAAACTCATTTGTTTGTTTGCTTGCGCTCCTTCTCTGTGTTGACTTGTTTCATAAGGCCCGCTACATGACAGAAGGAGTGAGTTGGGAGACGGCGAGGAAGAAAGACTTGGACGTGCTCCAAGTTCTCGTTTTTTTTTTTTTTTTTTTTTCCATAGGAGGCAGCCCTCCCTGGTGCCACCCCCCCACCGCCACCCTCCCGCCTGCATCGAGTTATCGCATCTGGGCACACGTTGGCCGCGGCTGGGCCTGCACCGGTACAGGCTGTGGAAGGGCAGACGAAGGAACGTTCTGTGCGACACGCAAGGAAAATAGAAATTTTTTGTAGGGATGGGAATTCAGTCAAATATTGTTGAAAGAAGAATTACATAACAGGGAGGGAGGGAGGGAGAGAGAGAGAGAGCCTAAGCCTAAGCCCATCTATCTTTATTTGACTTTTATTTTGGTTAAAAATTTGCTCAGCAGGCATCAAGGTAACGTAAAGGTGGGTTTTCTCTTCCACTGCACAAGCTGGTGCTTGCTAATTTGGGAAGCACTTTTTTAGCACTGCAACAATTAATCAATTAGCTGTCATTTAATTAATCTGCAACTATTTTGATGATTGATTAATCTGTTTAAGTAAAAATTCCAGCTTCTTCAAAATTAATATTTTCTATTTTCCTTATTCCTCTGTGATTATAAACTGAATATCTTTGGGTTGTGGACAAAATAAAAACATTTGAGGACGTCATCTTGGGTTTTTGGAAACATGGATCAACATTTTTCACCATGACATTTCATAGACCAAACAACTAATCAATGAAACAAAAATCAGTTGCAGCCATACACTTTTGCAAAGTAAAGTCTATCCATGGCAACAATTTGAGTTAAACTAGCCAGCTTTTAATCGACTAGTTTGGCATCTATATCGATTATCAGAATTATCGCCTTGTCTCATTCCTAATTCTTCTTTCTGAAAAGGAGATTGCACAAAATTAAAACTGATTTACTGAACGATTGTCCCCAATATAACATATTTTTTTTAGATTTTAGAAGACTTTAATGCTCAGCTGTCATTATTATCTTTTGAGTTGAAGTCTTTGTCAGTAGTTTTGTATCTGGAGTCTACTTGTGGTGTTGATGGTGCACACTACTCAGTGTTCGTTGCTGTTTGCTCATGCTGCTGCTGATCTTGTCCTGCTCAGTGTTGTTTTGTGTCGGACATAGTGACTCTAAACTGAGCTGGTTGAATATGTTAGTGTAGACAGGTGTGGGAGAGAATGAACTTGTCCTTGCCACCACAATGATCTCATAGTTGCAGACGTTAACGCCCAACTCAAGGCCCCATATACACACACATACAATCACACACATAAGCATAGACGCACACAAACCGCACTACGCTCAGCTGATGAATTAGCCACATTAGCCCACTCTTTAGGGGATTTGGGGGCTTGCTAATTGCCAGCTTGTCATTTTAATTGCCTGTACACCCCTCACACACACATACACACAACCTCTTCAATTAATTAGACAAGAGTCAGTGGTGACTTTGCCTGCCTGCAGCCTGGCCCACTGACAGTACCACTGTCAGTGCTCACCTACACTGTCCAGAACAGTGCCGCTAGCTATGTCCAAATTTTGTTTAGTGTATATGTAACAGAATATTACAGGTAGCATGTATGTGAGCATTTTATTTAGCCACAGCCAGGATACACTTGGATGTACATTTTGATCTTTTATAAAAATCTGTTACCAGAGTTTTTACAAATTACAAATCTTGCTATTTTTTTCTTTTTCACTGATGGTAGACTTGTGCACGTTCCTCTGGGTCCGCTGTGTATTGTTTTTAGAAAAAAATTCTTATTTAAAAATTTGTGATTGATTTGTTAGTTAGATACATTATTTAACAGTATAATACAATTAAACCAAACTCACTGCGACAGGGGCTCTGACTGGGGGCCAGATGGGCTCCGGGGAGCTGCTGCAGCAGCGTCTGCGTTGTGGCCAGGTCCGAGACGCACTGGGGATCCTGGAGGCCATGGACTGGAGCATCATGGGAGACGAGTGCTACCGAGGCCTGAGCTCAGTCACCAACCACCTGCTGAGACTGGAGCTGAATGCAGAGAGAGAGGGTGGGACTAGCTTACTAGTTATCTTCAAATATAAAACAATTAACTTGTAAGAACATGTTTTTTCTGTCGTTTGCTGCTTGGCAAAATTTCTTCCTGACACACTTCTACTAAAACTATTAATTAAAATTTTTATTTAACTTGTTTTATTCGGCGTGTGTTTCTGTTCTGTTTGCAGCCCAGCTAGAAGCAGCTCTGGGTGTGTTTTATGCCCCACCCACCCCTCTCTCTGATATGGTAATACTTGAGTACAGGGAGCCAATCAGCAAGTATGCCCGTCGCTTTTTTCACCACCTCCTCAGGTAACGCTGCCCACTCTGTACTGGTCCTAAATTGATTTTCTGAGGAAGACATTTGTTTTACATAACTTATCAGGAGGGTCAAAGGCCAAGATCATTAGAGCACTCTTGGGGCTAAATAGATTTAAATACATCAGTCAGGCTACACATCAGTTGTTTAAATTTAAATCAGACTTAAATTAAAATGACATCTGATCAGTGATTAACAGCTGTTGCTTGTGGTCATGCAGCTCTACATACACAAATATACGGGGTATTTTTAAGGCATTAGCAGAACATTTTATTAGTTTATCATCACAAGGTGCAGAATCAGAATAAGAAATACTGTCCAAAAAAGGTCTTTCAGAAAATGACATCCATTGAAGATACAATTTAATACTGCTTATTTGCCTCTCACTATTGCTATTTTAAAAATTCTAAAAAGGAAATAGCTTTTGAATGCCCTCACGCGCAGACTGGTGCAGCTTTGAGTCATTCATAAAGCAAAACACCTCACATGCACCTGTTTAGATTGTTGTTTAATTTTCCCTTCTGCCATGAGAGCCTTTTGAAATGCCTGTTTGACTGAAATAGACCCTGTTGTTCCCACACACTGCTGCTTACTGCTCTCCATCCTGCAATTACCTTCCGTTTCCTCTCTCTTTCTTTCTCCTCCTCTGTAGCAGAGCTGGAGCGTTGTTTGGCATCCCTCCTCCTTTCCTCTCTTATCACCTACCTGCATTCATTTTCTCTCCATCAACATCAAATGAAGGAAGCCCCCCCCACACCTCCTCTCTCTGCTTGGGTTTGTTTGTTTCATGTTGGCTCTAGACAGGGAAAGTTGAGGTGTTTTGTACTGGGAGATACAGTTCTCTCTCTCCCCCAGCTTTAATACTAGATAATAGGAAGAGGGCTCACTACTCTCTGTTCAATTATTGACAGTTTTGTGCGCAGGGGTATACGTGAATGTGTGTGGATCGAACATGTACTACTGACCCATCCATATACAGATTTTCATCCAAGATGTGGATTTTTAGATTCATGATTGTTTTTTGTCAGGATGTTATTATACTTCCCTTTTTAACTGTGCCCACTTTCTCTGCAGACACGAGCGCTTTGAGAAGGCCTTCCTCCTCGCTGTAGATTTAGAAGCAAGAGATTTATTCATGGTGAGTGGAAAGGACATTTCTGTTGAATTGCCGTCTTGAAAAAATGTGACGCATAGTTTGACAAAAAGGTTGCTGACATAAAGCAGAATCCACTATGGGATATTTTTAACTTCATTTGTCCAGGAATTTTTTAACATGTGAACACAAATTAAGAGTTAATATAATTAATGTTCCTCAAAAAGGCTTTAGAAGGTATTAAAAAGTCTTAAATTTAATGTACAAAAGTCTTAGTGGAGTCAGCAGGCAGGTTATAAAATGTTTTTGAATTCAATTAAAAAGTGGATTATTTAATCCTTTTTTGTGGAGTTTCAGTCAACACCTTCTCACCTGTAGCAACACTGCCACTACTGGGCAAGTGTTGATTTTTAGCAAATAACTTAAATAGATTAACATAATATAAATTTTAAGTCATTTTTAATTGGTTAATCCATATAATGAAACTTAACTGGGTCTTGGTCGTATTTATTTAATTAATTATTTCATTCTGAGTTTTTGTCAGGTATTGCTGGGAAGTTCTTTTAAAAATGTGTTTTAACAATAAGTACTTATTGGCCATATTATCCCCACTGGGTTTCCATCAAACTGTGGGCGGTGTGATCATGAAACATGTATTCAATTGCATTATGTGTGGAATTAAAAAGGAATTTATCACATCTTCAACACTCTGCACTGGTGCTCTGTGACTACACGCAGGCAAACTAAAGGGAAACATGGAAACTCGTCTGATAGGCTGCGTCACAGATTTATCCATGTCCAAACTGGGTTAATATCAAGGGCAATTGGACTTGGTTCAAGATGGTTGAAGATGGTTTGCCTCTCATCCAAGAGGTTTCTCCAGTTCTGCTGAAGGGCCAAAGTTGCCCTTGATTTTAACCCACCTGTGGAATCTCCACAGAAACATTTAACCATGCAATTTCATTTAAGCTGTTTAATAGGTTGGGTTTTTTTTAAATCAAATTGTCATTTGAGTAATATGCCTCTCCACATAAAGAGATCTGTACCAGAACCACTGTTGTGTTTTTTTTTTCTACCTTTATTGGAGACACTGACAGTGAACACAGGAAATGTGTTCCCTGGATGAAATGGAATTAAATGGGTTGTGGTTATGTTGTATGCATCTTAACCACTAGGCTACCTGGACTCCCCCAGACTGTGTTAAAATGTTTTCCCACTGACTTACAATTCTCAAAGCATTAATTTTTTAGTGCAAAGTTCCACTGAAAGTATTTCTCTGTCACTTACACCCAAGAAAATATCACTTCATGATCATTGTGGCCTGTTACATTACATGTAGCATCTCTTACAGCATTTATCCTCTAACACACAGTGATATTGGTGAGAATTGAGGCACCTAAATTGTGGATTGTAAGGAGTATTTAAGTTTTATGCAAGTGTGCTGCAGCTTCTCTAATATATTTTAATTGAAAACTGTACTCTTTTTGCTTTCATTTGCCTGTGTGTATGTGTGTGTGTGTGTGTGTGTGTGTGTGTCAGTCACAGAGCAGGTGTGATCTCAGTATGTGCCTCTTTTCACAACCTCCATGGCCTCGGCTCGGCCTTTTCCTCTCCTCTCATCTTCCACCTAACTCGCTCTTTCTTCCACCTCACGCTGAAATGCTCTTCTATGTGTTTGACCCCCTTTTTCATGGGGCCCCCTTTGCTCCATGCTTCACCAACACCCTAGACATTAATACAGACCCCCATACACACACAGACACGCATACACACACTCTTGCTCCCTCAATCACACTGATAGCACTGGTTCCAATTACCTCCCCACTAAGTAGTGCTGCTGGGAAGCCGAATTGAAAAGGTGGAGTCGAGCCTGTGGACCTTGAAAGAGTCCAAAGTAAGGGAGGGGGACGGAGTGAGAGGAGGGGGTAGCGGTGTAGGTGGAAAGCAATATGACAAATGTGGGGGGGGGGGGGAAAGCGAGTAAGAAAAGGCGAGAGAGAAAAGAAACAAGGTCTTGCTCTGTCACTTTGGAGGTGTCGAAAGATGAGTAAGGAACAGAAGATGAGCAGAGATGGAGGTGGAATCACATTTGCAAATAATTCTCTGCCTTGCGTTTGAACTGATTCCGGAGGGTGGAGTCAGGACAATTCGGCCTGGGTCAACAAAGCAGGTCCAAATGTTGAGTGATTTATTCTCATAAAACATTCATTCATATGCATGTATTGCATGGACGCTACTTTGTTAAAATCTCCTGCATGTAAATAATTAACACTTCCTAAAACTTAATTAATAGAAAATAAATATTTCTTCATCTAGTCATATGTTTGCACAAATTAAGCACATTTGTTCTTTTATTTCTGAGATATATTCATAGAAAAAGAATAAATTTCACATTTTAGAAACACTTAAGACTGTAAACTGCTAACCCTCACCCTCCTTTCCATATTTTGTAAGTTATTGGTTATTGACCATGAAATAGGAAATGAAGTGCAAGTGATTTTAAATATAAAACAAAACTCCAACAGAACTAATTTTCACAGTTTTCATCATGTTTACAAGAAGTTAGTGTGTGGCACAATAGGAAAGTGACCCTGTGTGTGAAGTTGGTGTGATGTTATACAGAACTGGTGCGTCACTGTCCAGTGGTTCTTTAGACTGCGTGACCAAAACTACAAAACGTCTCCAATTATGGAGCCAGTTCACTCGTCCATTTCAGTTGTTTGAGAACTGTGTGTCCGCCTCCTGTAGCTCTCATACTGCACCTGACCGCCAGCAGATGTTTCTTGATTTGCTGTTTTAAATCAAACCACGTGTGTAGTGTTAATACAGCACAGGTGACATCTTTCTAAGCTCTTCTCACATATAAAAGTATAATTATTGTTGTTATGCTTTAGATGAATTGGCTGGAACAAAACGCAATTCAAGATCAAATGATTGATTTGATCACTGTGACAGACTTACAAAGTATTTGTGCTCCGTTTCGTGGTCTCTGTATATGTGGCTCACCAAACACAACAGATAATTGCAAACACTTCTCATCCTAGATCTGTAACAAAGCTAATGCTCTCTCACAAAGAGCGTTTTCAAGCACTTTTTTTTGCCTCAGCGACCAAGAGAGCAGCAACTCATCATGTGAAAAGAGCTACAGAAAGAAAGAAGACGTTGACATTTCACCCCTTACTCTGGCCTTCGCTCTAATTAGGTTGTGTTGTTGCTTTAACCTGCTGGTTGGTTGATTGAGTTGAGGTGGAAGGGGTTAATGAGGGCAACCCCCACCTTCACCAAACTTTTTTCTAACTTCCAAACTTGCCCACAGAACTCAATAACGCACCATTGACTTGATAAAATGCACACACGTATAGGAAACATCCACAACCTCACCTCATATAGAAACGCCCAGCATGATATACCCCCCATCACCAGACCCCTACAACTTCAAGCCCCATTGTTTCCTAGCTAACAATAGAGGCCCTCCAAGCCTTTAAAAAGGGGGAAAAAAAAGAAACCTTTTGTTGAAATGAAACACTTTAGTGTCGGGCTAAATCGAGGGGGAGGAGGAACCGGTGGTAGGGGGGTGTTTTGGCGGAGGTGGAGGTTGGGAGGTGTATATAGAGGTAGAAGTAGGGGGTTTCCGAGTCATTTGCATTTCTTTTTCATAAATGGCGCCATTCTGTAGTGTCCTAATTAGCCTTTGATAATGAGTTGATAATGTAACCAATTAGGTCATTCGTCAGCCAAGTCAAGCCGACGACAAGTTGTTTTTTTTCTCTACCCCCCCCCTCCCCCATCTCTTCTTTCTGGGTCTTTGGCTCTTGATGTAGCTTGTTAATTAAATCAAATTGTGTGATAGCCGAATCTGATGCCGGCTCTTTTGTTCCCCAATGAGGGCTTGTACTGTTTCTTGTTAGATACGCTAGCAGTAAGGCAAGCTGCGTCTGTTGGGTTCACCCCCTATCTTCCTCCCATATCTGACGCCAGGCTTGGAGGCACTGGAGGAGGAGGAGGTATCGCACATCTTCTGCAATAAGCTCATTGTTGTGGCTCAGATGAGTAATTAGCGTTATTAAAACGTTAAGTCCTTAACACCTATCAGATAGAAGTGTTAGTCAAACACAAAGCTCCTGGATAACAGGTGTGTCAGAAAGTGTGTGTGTGTGTGTGTGCGCGTGTGCAGGTTCAGCAAATGTGCTCATGTCCAGGGATTATGCCTGTGTTAATTAATGAATATGTGCATTGTTTGCTTGCGTGTGCCTATGTGGATTTGTGTCCAGTCTCCTTGTCAATATTTGATTTAACTGTATGCTTTTGGCAAAGGAAATGCCCACCCTAAAACATTTTAGTCCCACGCAGAAATGTCTCATCTGCTTGAATATTTCTTGGGATAATTATAACTGGTGTATTTTCTTATTCCCAGCTATAAGGGTATGGCTAAATACAGATGATGTGACATTTGCTTGAGATATTTCCAGGGGTTGCAATGAAGTCTGAATCATCAGGATTTGATGTCCATCCCTCAGAATCAAAGAGCAAAGACTTCTTTCTAGAGCCGCCTTTTGATGCTAATATTTATTTTTTTATATGACTTTTATATTATCATAGAGGGAGAAATACACCTTAAAAGAAAGACAGAGCTGTGTCAGATATTCCTCCCTCGTTCACTCATTCACTATTTCCTATATAGGGGGATATACACTGCTCAAAAAAATAAAGGGAACACTAAAATAACACATCCTAGATCAGAATGAATGAAATAATCTCATTAAATACTCCTGTGCTGACAACAAAATCACACAAAAATGATCAATGGAAATCAAATTTATCAACCCACGGAGGTCTGGATTTGGAGTCACACTCAAAATGAAAGTGGAAAACCACATTACAGGCTGATCCAACTTTGATGTAATGTCCTTAAAACAAGTCAAAATGAACGCCTGGGCATGCTCCTGATGAGGTGGCGGATCTCCTGAGGGATCTCCTCCCAGACCTGGACTAATGCATGGATGGAGCGAGACATGATGTCCCAGATGTGCTCAATTGGATTCAGGTCTGGGGAACGGGCGGGCCGGTCCATAGCATCAATGCCTTCCTCTTGCAGGAACTGCTGACACACTCCAGCCACATGAGGTCTAGCATTGTCTTACATTAGGAGGAACCCAGGGCCGACCGCACCAGCATATGGTCTCACAAGGGGTCTGAGGATCTCATCTCGGTACCTAATGGCAGTCAGGCTACCTCTGGCGAGCACATGGAGGGCTGTGCGGCCCCCAAAAGAAATGCCACCCCACACTATTACTGTCCCACCACCAAACCGGTCATTCTGGAGGATGTTGCAGCAGCAGAACGTTCTCCACGGCGTCTCCAGACTCTGTCACGTCTGTCACATGTGCTCAGTGTGAACCTGCTTTCATCTGTGAAGAGCACAGGGCGCCAGTGGCGAATTTGCCAATCTTGGTGTTCTCTGGCAAATGCCAAACGTCCTGCACGGTGTTGGGCTGTAAGCACAACCCCCACCTGTGGACGTCGGGCCCTCATACCACCCTCATGGAGTCTGTTTCTGACCGTTTGAGCAGACACGTGCACATTTGTGACCTGCTGGAGGTCATTTTGCAGGGCTTTGGCAGTGCTCCTCCTGCTCCTCCTTGCACAAAGACGGAGGTAGCGGTCCTGCTGCTGGGTTGTTGCCCTCCTACGGCCTCCTCCACGTCTCCTGATGTACTGGCCTGTCTCCTGGTAGCGCCTCCATGCTCTGGACACTACGCTGACAGACACAGCAAACCTTCTTGCCGCAGCTCGCATTGATGTGCCATCCTGGATGAGCTGTACTGCCTGAGCCACTTGTGTGGGTTGTAGACTCCGTCTCATGCTACCACTGGAGTGAAAGCACCGCCAGCATTCAAAAGTGACCAAAACATCAGCCAGGAAGCATAGGAACTGAGAAGTGGTCTGTGGTCACCACCTGCAGAACCACTACTTTATTGGGGGGGTCTTGCTAATTGCCTATAATTTCCACCTGTTGTCTATTCCATTTGCACAGTAGCATGTGGAATTGATTATCAATCAGTGTTGCTTCCTAAGTGGACAGTTGTATTTCACAGGAGTGTGATTGACTTGGAGTTACATTGTGTTGTTTAAGTGTTCCCTTTATTTTTTTGAGCAGTGTATGTATACACAGACATTTCTAAATTTTTTTCATTTTGATCCTTCACTGACAGGTGTAGTGTCACATAACATTGCACTGTGACATTTTTAACAAAAAGTACTGTGATATTGGTTTACCAGTAATATTATTTTTTCTACTGTGGGAATTTTGAGGGTGCTTTAAAGGGTAGTACATTTTTACATAGAATTATAAAAAAAATTCCAGAGATTGTTAAAATATTTCACGAGAAAGCCATCACGTTTAAAGGCAAACTGTCTTAACAACGGAGGGCATCAATGAAATTACCTTTTTTACTATAAGACTACAATGAAAAACGTAAAAAAATACTAGATAGTAAAGATAGTAGCCCATTATATACATAACTGAAAGACCCTGTTCCTTTTTACAAGTACTGTGCTGATTGTGTCACCCCACTTGTTTTGCTTGAAAATATCTTTACAGTTAGTTTTAAAAAAATAATCTGGACACACAGATAAAACATTGGCCAGTAAATATAGTGAATTAAGTTGCAAATACAAAGTGATTTCAGATACAGGATATAGCCACACCATGTGTCATTTTTTAAAGACATTTGAGTCAGATTGGCATGTTTTGCTGTTAACTGCCATAACACTAAAACTATTACTCTCCACACCAAATGCAACAAGTTGTTTCCATTCTCCGTGAGATGTTGAAAGGCATGCTGCAGCTTTCTTACACGAGTACTTCTTTCGCTCAATAATGTTTCTCTGTGCGCATAAACAAACGTGAACAAACGCTGAACGTTTACGTATGTGCTTCTCATCGATCCTGTTTGGCAGTAACCCACAGACTGCAAACATGCAGACATGAGCCTCTCTAATGTGTCATAAGCGCTGCTGTGTGCCAGTTAATCTAATCCCTCATTTATTTGGAGGTAACCCAAATATCAGTCAATATCGGGCTCTTAGCGTCCAGCCCCCCCATCCCCTCCACTCCCTAAAAATGGCCCACTAAAACGCCCCTCTTTATCAGGCGCTGCAACCCCTAAAGCTCTTATATAAATAAGATTAGTGTCGCGTTTGAGCGTCAGGGAATAAGAGGTGTAATATCTGATGGTTTTATATGCAGTATTATTGTTATCCCTTCTTAGTCAGGCTGATACTCTCTCTCTCTCTTAGTTCTCAGTTTGTCTCTCTCTCTCTCTCATTTCACGTTTGTTCATTCGTTTATTCTTTCTCTGGGACCCTCTCTCCAGATTCAGACAGTATTATGAGGAGCTAAGCTGGAATAAAGCGCCCCAGCATCAAATGTTCATATTGTTCTGTTCTGTCTGTCATACAGTCTCTCTCTCTCTCTCTGCTGCTCTCTCTCTTTCTCTCTCATGTGAAAACCCTTGTTGTGAATTTTGCCTTGTTCACGTCTTTTATGTCTTGTTCACCGTCTCTTTCTGCTCTTTCTTTCTCGCTCTCTCTCTCTCTCACACACCTCACTGTCATTTCAACGTAATACCGCCTCTCCTCCTCGCCCGTTTTAATCTTCTGCTGCTCTGTTTATTATCAATTAGGAAGCCTCACTCATATCTAATTGAGGGGCCATGTCCTTGTTCACAGCGGCTGAATTAGCCACCTCAGTCCTGGGAGCCGATTTAGGTTCTTTTGAGGCCATTTTGTTGTCGGCCATTTTCACATTGCCTCCTAACTCGTTGCCGCAGAGGGCAGGCACCACACTATAATTACCCAATCTGTTCCCATTCATACTCTTCAATTTCAGCGCCTCTCTCTCTCATTCTCTTTTACTCCCCCTCTTCCCCTGCCTCAATCCGTCTCTGCTCCCCACCTCTTTTGGAAACCAGCACCCCCCTTCTTTTTTCCCCCTCTAGGGGTACAAAAGCTGGGTTACAATATGGGGGTATTAGGGCCGGGTGCAGTCTCAGCTGGGGGGTGGCTTTAGCCAGCTGAGGGTTATCCATGGCGAGCCCTGAGTCACGGCACTGATGTCCTGTGATGTCGCTGAGGCGGAAGACTTTCCTTAACACGCTGTACCCTTTGATGGGCCCTCAGGCCCTGCACTCAGCCCGAGGAAACCCTGCGACCCTGAGTAGCCCCTCGTTGGGTGCCAGGATGAGGGTGTGATTCACTTTCTGTTAAATCAATTTAAGAGGTTGGGTGTTGCAGAAATTCAGTTTTCCCGTCTTTTTTTTAAATTTTAAATTGCACCAATATCCGATACAATATCAATATTTAATTTTTATCACTTTTGTTTATGTATTATATCATTATTATGTATATTTGGTTCATTTAGCACCATCCTGCTTCCCATTCAGAGCAACACGTTCACACTGGGAGCTGACCAGTACATTTTCAGCCTTGACTGCTGGTTATTGACGGGCTCCACTGGAACAACTGGGGCAACATGTTGATTGTTGTTAAGGGTGTGTTTTTCATTTACTTCACAGCTGTTCTGGGGGATTCAAATCAGTGACCTTTCTGCATCAGACCAAGTTTTATACCATCATGCTGCTGCCCCTGTTGGCGTCTCAAACTGAGAAATTTGTAATTATCTGCGGTCATTGATCCCGTTAAGATCATCATTTAGCTGAATTATTTAGGTCCTCTGACTCAGCTAAAAGCTGAACCAACTAATCAATACAAATGATTTTGTTCTCTTTTTAAAGAACAATGCTTTTTTCTATCTGTCTGAATGTATACATGGCAATACTGGCTGTTCTTCACATCTACACATTATTGATGGTGTTAAAAGTATTGACTAATCAAACCTGCTATAACATCTTTTAATTGTCAACACTCTAATGGGACCAATTCTATTATGCATATTAACTATATACTGTGTGTACTATATACTAAACTGTGATCGACCAGAGTGTCAGTGCCAAAGAAACTTCACAACAAAATGTTTTTCCGAAAATGTAATATTCCTGGAACTGTTTCACCACCTTCCACAATATACACATTTACATATCCATCACAGGATATTTAAGATTTGAATTGATTTAATTTAATAAGACTATAGTTTGAGAATTAATTTTAGTTTTCAGGTATTTAAATAGATCAGCGTTACTTGTAGCCCGGAGCACCTTAAAACAGGGACAGCGGTCTGATGCGTTGTGGTTATTAATGAGCAGTATGGCTGCGTAGAGCTTTTAGGCCACCCTCAGACATCATTTAGCAATATTATCTCTCTTTATGGTCCTGCAAGACTCAAGCAGAGAGATACAGAGGATACACGCTGTTTCCAATATTGTCGCAGGCTGATATAGTAATGTGCTCGGCTGGATATGTTTCTCCGCAAAGAGAGAATACCAGCGTTTCTGAAAGGTGAACAGTCCCTCGCCTCCTCTCCCACTTTTGAAATGTGACAGATAACATCCTCCCTAGTTCAAAACCGGAGAGACGAGGGTGTATGTGTGGGGTGTGGGGTGGGGGTGCTGATTTCAAAGTTTTTGGAGGAACCGGCATTTCATCCAACCTGTGCTCTTTCTGATGTTGGGCTTCAAACGGCTCATTTTTTTCTGTCATTTCATCTGTTTCTTCCTTCTCCCGCCAAAAACACCACCCCCATCCCTCCCAAAAAAATCTCTCTATTGTCATCGGAGCCTAGATTCATTTTAGATTAACGTTCACGTTTCTTTCTTTCTTGCATTACCTTCAAAGGACCTCCATTATGTTGCCAGCGATAAGGGCGAGGTGGTGCTAGCGGATGTGGCCAAGAGGAAAGCTAATGAAATCGAGGCCCAGGCCATCGCAGGCAACGGTAAGAAAATAATCATAATGTCTAAGCAAAAAGACGCCAAATGTGACTCGTTATTTCTGCTCACATCTGATATGGGAGGGTGGACTCCTGATAACCTCAGTAACTCACCCACTCTGACACACTTTTCTGACATCTAACACCGGGTATTTTCTCAGGCTCTCACCCTCCTTTAATAGTGCAAAAGAGAATTAAATCAGATCATGTTTGACCGAGTTGACTGTTGCCTTTTTTAGAAACGAATCATCTATAGTAAAGATATGAGTGAGATACTGGAAAAAGCTTTTATTACATGTTTATAAAATGAAATTGAAACTATAAAAAAATATATTTACATTATCACCACCAGCACAAAATCTATACTTGTTATTCAAGATTAGTGGCAACATGCAGTTACACCTTAAGGTTGTTGGGATGTAGGTGGTGTAAGGTGTAAGAATTTCGCCCCAAAACTGCATAAAAAGTGTTGTGAAACACAAAGTCTTTAAAATCAGACATATAAAATATATTTAACCGAAGTTTTTTGGAGTAACCTGCAAGAGGGAGGAAAACCAGTGAAGGCCTTTTCTTTCTTTTTTTTTTTGCCATGGCTTCAGGCTGTGCTGCTGCCCTTTGACAAACACTCCCGAAAGCACATACCAGAGGGGATCAAGCCGAGTTCCTGATTACACACACACACACACACACACACACACACACACACACACACACACACACACACACACACACACACACTGACAAACACATGCAATTCCTCATGGAGGCTTCAAGGGCCAACGGGTGAGCAGAAAACATTCAAATTTGTGAGGGAACTAGATGAACATGTCTGATGAGTCCTTCATTGGTGCTTAAAACACACCAGAAGGCAATGTGCTTGTGTGTGTGTGTGTGTGTGTGTGTGTGTGTGTGTGTGTGTGTGTGTGTGTGTGTGTGTGTGTACTCACACACAACCAAATGAGGTGAGAGAGGTATTTAACTTCACTGTATAAGGTCAAACCCCTAAGGCTGAGTGTCTGTGTGTTTGTCAGTGAATGAAAATGAGCGTTTGTGTAACTATGAGGCCTGTCTGCATGCGGTTTCTTTCCCTTTCTTTTTCTAATGTGATTCGTAACACGCGCACTCCTCCTCATAAGCCTCTTAATTATGTCCTCGATGATTTACCTCCATCACCTGCAGCATGTGCTATCCTTGGACAACAGCACTGCAGATAAAAGAGAGAGGGAGGAAGGGACAGAAGAGAGAAAGAAAGAGGAGGGCACGACAACAGGAAGAAAAGCAAAGAAGAAATAGAGGGAGGGAGGAAATGGATTAAATAAAAAGTTGGAAAAGAAGATGAAGTAAAGACAAATAATTAAATGAAGAAACAAAGTAGAATATGAATGAGTAAAGAATATGTAGAAATAAATTAAAATTGAAGGATGCATCAATATTGACCAAATGTACCTGCCGACTATTTCCGGCAACAGTAAACAAGCCACATTTATGAGGTCATATGACCTGACAACAATACATCCAGACACTCAAGACCCTGTGTAGTGCAAAGGTTTGAACAGCCACACTCAGACTACTTCTGTTATGATATTATAGTTTTAATATGGCTATGAATGAATCCAGTGAAAATATGAACACAATGTGACGGTGTGAAAGGGGTCGCTCATAGTGATGGACATACAGATAATTATAACCTGAATCTGCAGCTCCTCTCAGCTTTACAAAGCTTTATAGAGAGTTTCAGTTCATTGTTTAGCCGTCCGACTTTCACCGCTCTCAAAGCGTTGCTTTCGGCTGCAGTCTAGTCAGAGTTACATTGTTGCCAAGCAAATTCAATCCTGCTGTTTGAGCATGTCTTTTTCACACGTACCTATATCGTTACCTTCAGGGCATGTTTAACATGTACTTTTACATACAGCACACACACATTGGTGCAGAGCAAAATGGGCTTCCATAAAAACTAACAACTGCGCTGTAAGTTAGTTTAGCTAAAGTTCCACAAAAATTAAAAGTTCCAGGTGTCCAATGCTCGTTATTTAATTAGCTTCAAATGAGGCTTAACGTTCACACAGTTTCTCTTGACTGTGCCTCAATATTACAATACAACATTAGTCCAACATTGCCAAGCCGGTGGGCCACATTAGCTGCACAATATGCTAACGCCGAGTTAGCTAACCTACAAAAGCTGCGTTTCAACCAAAGGAACTATACCCCGGACTAGGAACCTTTGGAGGAACTCACTGCGTTTCCACCGAAGGGACCAGGTTCTAAATTTAGTTCCAGGATCTTTATTTTATTTCATTACGTTAAATACTGGGTCCAAAGTTGTTGTTTTTAAGTTTTCATCAGTCAGAAAGTTTTTACACAGAGCCGAAGTCGGTCTCCTCCACTCCAAAACAAGCGGAACAGCTGACAACAGCAGGTAAAGCTCATAAACATCCCGTTCCTCCGACGCAGGCGGACACAGACGTGATGCTGCAGCTGATCTGCAGCTCTTGTTGGCTGGAAATGTTTTCATAACCTTCCAAACTGTCGCGATTTTATGTTTGTGTTTCTTGATTTATTGTTTTCTTTCTTCCTTATTTGATGAACTTGATGGCTTTGTCCAGTTTGTTATTAAATTTGTAACGAACTTTATCGCGTGTCTCTTCATTGTAATCCCGCACAAAAAAGCAGTTTTTAATGGTCAAGCAAAGCCTATAGTTTTTCATTATATTCCAAACAAATCTGGAAAATTAATGATGCCTGTCCATCGCTTTGTACAGTGTACAGGCCTACAGCCTACGTTAGCTGGTTAATTTGCCTAATTTTTGCAGGTCTTGAGACCACAGTGGAACACACACAACAGTAGGCTGAAGGAACCTTCGAGTTCCTTGAAAAGAGATCAGGGTCCTGGATACTTGTTTACTTACATAAACAACAACTTTGCCATATCAACTTAAAAGGTGATGATATGTCAAGAGAAAAACACAAATACTAACACATTCTGATCATAGCAGTAACACAACCAGCTGATCCCGGCACTCCGTGAGAGATGAGGTCAACAATGAGTTTGAGAAAAGAGAACATAATTAATAACAAACTAATTAATGCAAAGCTGGAAAAGATGAAGTGAAAAGATGTATGGAGGTAGCTCCCTTTCTTTCACACACTCATACAGACACATGCACATTAGCCATCAGCTTGTTACATAGTAGATGGTTTGACTGAAAGTGTGTTTGGAAAATACATTGACACTGTGGGACAGTCAGTAGAGATGATGGTTAAACCGATGCGTCGCTCTAAGTGTATGTGTGTTTGAATGTGTGTACATCCGTTCGTGTGTGTGTGTGTGTGTGTGTGTTTGTGCGTGCTGTGCAGTTGTGTGTCAACGTTCAGACAAGCAGACGGAGCATATTAACAGAGCAGAGAAGCAAAGGGCATAAATAATGAGTGGCTCGCTTCAAGCAGAGGACTCCAGTGAACAGGTGTCTCGCTTTGTACACACACACACACACACACACACACACACACACACACACACACACACACACACACACACACACACACACACACACACACACACACAGCCCCTGGCATGGTCGTTACACACCACCAAGTTCAGCTGTGGCTCCCAAGACTACTCTATACTTCTGCTTTATTATATTTTAATATTTTAGAATGAAATATTGTGCTTTTTAGTCCACTACAATTATCTGACAGCCGTAGCTACTCGTTTCCTCTTTGTTTAACCAGAAACCAGAAGTATCGCTTTGAAATCTCGCGAGCGGTGAATTGTTGCAGGAAGATGGTGGTGGATACATGTATCAGTAAGTGATCACTGTAGGGATCATTTACATAATGTTGTCAGACACTTGCGTAACAATCTGAGTCTGTCAGTGGCAAAAACAGACACCGTGTCCGTGTCTTATAACGTGATAGATAACATCTCTCCCTGTGTTTCTCTGCAAAATACTAAAATGGGTCAACAAATATACCTGATTGGCCGTTAAAAATCCTGAGTGGCCCACCCAAGTAAAATCTTTATATGGGAACAATGCACCATCACATGATGCATATTCAAATTTAAATTCAAACACAAGTTCCCACGGTGCAGCTACACTAACCTTTGGCCTGGACTCACAAATTTACTGTTTGAACAAACAAGAGGCTGAAATTTGTTTGTTCTCAGTCACAGTCGCACACAACAGACCAAATTCAGAATTTCCCTCGGGGACATATGTGTTTGTGTAAATATGTGTACAGTTAGGTGTGACATGGGAAGCAGGTCATACTGAATCCTGCATGAATTTGAACGCAGTTTTGTTCATGTAAAGCAGGAGTTCCCTACAGCGAGCTCAGGCACCCGACACATCCTGCTGTTTTCCTGTACAAACAGTGAATAGCCCGTACCTGACCAACATCTTGTTATGAAGGCAAATATAAACATTTATTGCACACAACAAACTCAAACATTTGCTTGCAGCTCTGTACTATAACCTCAACAGCACTAGAGTTTATATAAAATAAAGAGTAATGACCTAATGACAATAATATTGATACTTGTTTTGATATTGCTGACCTGATTGGTTAATCTTTCAACCACACTGCCACGTGTGAACCTGCATTTACACTTACAGAAAATCATTCAAGTACATAATAATCCCCTGATGAAATTAAGTTACGAGCAGCATGCAGCTTATGTTAATGTTGTAACCACAATTGTTTTTGTTATTTTTGTGGGTGCAAAGTGATGCAACAGGTGATGCAACATTAACAAGTGAATTTCCCATAATCAGAGGAATGCCCTCAAAGGTATTAAGTTGATTTTAAACAACTATTATGTAAGTTCTCAAAAATGTATTTAAAGTTTTAAAAAAAAGGTGTGATGACGCTACTGTGTTGATGGAGGAATAAATGGATATATGCCTGTTTAATGTTCACACAGTTTAACACGTTCTCATTAATAAACTTAGACACTCAGCAGTTGTGCTGAAGCAATAGGGTTGTTTTACACCTGTAATTAACTAATTATCTACCTTGTAGTACAGAAAACCAACCAGCTGAGCTTTTCTTGGGGAGCAAGAGTTAAAACCACTGATCTAGGCCATCGCCACCCTGGATTATTTCACTTCAAGAAAACCATTGAAATTAGTTGATTTACATTGGAAAGAAGAGCATATCGTATCCTATTGTCTGGATGATTTTTCACTTGTTTTTTCAAAAATCACTCAATACCAGATCTTGTGGTTCTTTTAAAGTGGATGTCTTTTGCGATGCACCAGCATCGGTCTTGGAATCAGATTGGACAGAGACACCATATTTCTATGCACCGCTTCTCAAATTTATGTGCCTCCATTGTAAACGCTGGTGAACACAGATTCTGCCTCTGCTTGTACACATAAACTCACAATAGAGGACACACATCTCAGCTTAGAAACGGTCCCTTTTTATAACAGCATTGGAAATCGCTTATAGCTGTCTGGCTGACAAGTGTGTTGATTTGGATAGATACGGCATTGTGAGAGGCAGAGTAGCGAACAAGTGCGAGGGAAGGCCTCTTTCTCTTCCTATCTATCTCTTTTTCTTTGGAGTAGCGTTTTGCCAAGAGGAGAAGCCAAGTTGGTTGCCTGATCGTTCTGTCTCCCCCTCACAAAGGCTGATGTGACTGCAGGGCCTTTCAGTGGGCAAAGAGACAAGAGCTTTATCTGAAGATCCACTTCTCCACCTCCTCTCTCTCTCTCCTTTCTTGGTCGTTTGGTGAAAGCCTGTTAGCTCCGGTGTGTGTGTTGAAGGAAAGCGGCGTTTGTTTCTGTTCCCCTCTCAACTCTGTTGATTGCTCTGTTCACGCAACCTCCATTGCTGTTTGACTTCTTGTCTCTATTCAGAAACTTTACTGGCACGACTTCGTTATCGGAAGCAAGATTGTCAAGGCGTGACCTCCAAATTAGCAAAAGCCCACACTCCCGTACATGTAGCTGTTTACACAAATCATATAAAGATGATAGATCACATGGCTGAAAAACATACTATAGACAGAAATCTGAAAATATATCAGCATAAGGTCATAATCTGGGCCAATGTTTTGATCACACAAAGATCTTCAGGCTTTGTTAGGTAAACATATTAGAACATGTAATATAGAGACAGATGAAAAATTTTAAAAAGGCTTGACATAATGAATACAATGCTTTCATACTGACAGTTTGTTGCATTCTTGTACTTCAAGATTTTTGTCTTAGATATAAACGAAATTTGCTAGCGGTCGTACCAGTCAGATACAAATAGTCTGCCTGTCTTTACAGTGGGGAAACACACCCGTTTGACTTTATCTCTTTAATAGGAAACACTTAAATCATCACATGGAGACGAGAAGTGCCATTCAGCAATTAGTTAAATGGATTATTCAAGGGCCTTTAATTGATTGTAGTCCAGACACACCTGTATATGGAAGCACTCTCATAAATTGTGTTTGTGTGAAAGTTTGTATCGTAAAAAAACCCAAAAATTTCCATACTTTCTTTATCATTGGCCCTTAAAGGAAAATGACAGATAAAGACAAAGGAAGAAGCAGTGATAACACAAACTGGCCTTTCCTTTTATTCCATTAATGAAAAGTGTGTGTGTGTGTGTGTGTGTGTGTGTGTGTGTGTGTGTGTGTGTGTGTGTGTGTGTGTGTGTGTGTGTGTGTGTGTGTGTGTGTGTGTGTGTGTGTGTGTGTGTGTGTGTGTGTGTGTGTGTGTGTGTGTGTGTGTGTGTGTGTCCTAGAAGATCCTTCAAGTGGCGGAAATGGTGTATTTCGTAGTTCCAGCCTCGTGGGCAGACAGAACCAGAGTGCAACAGGACCTTCATATCCAGGCACTCCAACAACACCGTGAGTAATATGGTGTGTTTGTGTGTTTAAGCTGGCTACAGATCTGTGTGTCTTTTTTCATGTTTAGTATTATTTATTATTACTGAATCACATTTATCTAATTGTGTTGCGTATATGTCTTTAAACCTTTCTTTGTGAGCAGTTTTTTGGGACATTGACGTATCGTCACTATTTTAAGTTAAAATAGTGAAACGTCCAGCAGTTATCATTAATTTGTTAAGGTGCCGTGTAGCACAGGATTGTATAACAAGGTGAAGTTGTAGATACAAAAATGATATACTGTAGATGGGTGGATGAATAACAAGTCATAGAAATAAAGCTATTTTACATGGTACAGTACTGAGGATGAACTTAAAAATCTCACAGCCTGAGAAAGAAGCTGCTCTGCAGTATGGTGGTACGATGGCAGATACTTCTGTATCTCTTGCCAGACAGCAGCAGGGTGAACATGCGGTGGCTGTGTTGGGTGCTGTCTTTTAGTGTCCTTTGGGCTCTGCAGGCACCTCACCTCACCGATATCACTGATGCTCAGTAGATGGGTTCCAATGATTTTCTGGGCAGTTTTAATAACCTCCTCTGTGAAAGATAACAAGACCCTGGCACAGGGATTTTCCTTAAGAAATACAGCCGTTTCTGAGCTTTCTTTACCAGTGTGGAGATGTGAGATGACCATGTCAGGTTCTCTGTGATGGTGATTCTCAGCAACCTGAAGCTGTTCACCTGCTCCACCTCAGCTCCACTGATGTAGACAGGAGTGTCTGTCTTTATCTCCATTTTCCTAAAATCAATCAGCTCCTTGGTTTTACTGACATTGAGCAGTAGGTTGGTCTCCACTCTGCAACATTGTTGATTTCTTCTCTATGAAGTCTCATCGCTGTGGCCAATGGCCACCTGATGAATTTATGTCCAATATTCTCTCTCTTTTAGCTCTGTTTTGGCCTCCACCAATGGTTTTCAGCTGTGCAATGCAATGTTTTGGCTCTTTAGGTGCTAAATGCTCCACCATGTTCACCAGCTAGTTGCTTACTCTGTCTGCCTGCTGTTTGGTGCTGAGCAGGTAGTCTGTGGTGTTTTTTTTTAGAGCTTTTCTCACTGAAAACAGCTGGCTGCTACTGCCAAAAATGACACTGTGAGAGCAGTGAGATTGAATCAAAACAGTAAAATTGTGGGCTGGACACTTAAAACACTGAGCTGAAACTCACTATAAAGCCCCTTTCAGTCATTTAGTGAATTGTTATTAAAGACAATGCAAAGACAGATAGCCTCTTTACATCAAAACAAAATATTCACTTCAACTTGCTATAAATAAAGCCCCAGACGGATTTAGTGTGCAGAGGATTCGCTGTTTTACTTTGAGTCCTACATGTCATCTCCTCGCCATTGTCTGTATATGAATTGCATGAGAGCGTCTGTGGCCAAATGACCCAGCTGCAGCCTAAAAGCCTTCACTCCCAGTGACATTTCAAATGTCAAAGCCACATCAGTTCCGGGTCTTACGCTTCCAGCGATCCCAACGCTGAACCCGTAGCCGCATTTTAAAACTCCACCGGAGTCCATTTTCACCATGGTTCAGTCTCCGGAGTGCAGATCAAACTCACTGTTTCAGAGTGATTGTTTAATACACTCGTCTGTGCGAATGACATGTTGAAACAGTGCGACTAAAGACGCTGAAAGCATCCCTCTCTTTGTCCCCGCCTGTCTTTTTCACACACACACACACAAACAGATACATACAAATATAGCCATCCATGTCTCTATTATTGTGGGATGAGGTGGTGGTGGTGGTGGTGGTAGGGGGGTGATGGAGAGGCATTCCTTTTTCATACTCCAACTAACATATTGGAGTATTTATATGGGATTTGTGTGCATTAGATAAAAAAGCGCTCTTGTTCTTTTCATCCTCATAGGCTTTTCATGGCTGTTTGACTGTAACACTGATGACTCTCTGCACCCCCCCTACCCACCTCCAACCCCTCCACTCTGCGTTTCTCTAAGCCCCCTCCATCCATCCCAAATCCCTTCCTATCAGCCAATTTAAACAAGCTGGGTCCAGAGAGAGAGAGAGAGAGAGAGAGAGGGGAAGAGACGGAGAGAGATGCTCTGTCCTAAGCTCTTTTTTAAAAACAGTAAAAGGAACGAGAGGAGAAAAAAAGACGAGTGGTAAAGAGGGTTAGGGCGATTTGGCAGCCAAAAGCCCGGTCATACTACCCCAGGTCTTCCCCTGCACTGCTGACAGAGGCTAAGAAAGCAGATCCCCAAACCTCCCAAAAGATAATGGCCACCGAGAGAAAGAGACAAAAGCCTCTGCCTTTTTTATTTCACAATTTCCCCCCTCCTTTAGAACAATTTCTTATACCAACCCCCCCCACCACCCCTTTTTTTTTTTTGTAATCTGGTCTCCGATGAAGTTTCATTGTTTCTCATGTGAAGCCAATGGCAGCTTAGCTGAGATGGAGTAGGGGAGGCATTGTAGCGCGGGCGTTCTCCCGTTTGGCTCGCTGAGAAAAGAGCAGAGAAAGAGAGGGAGGCGAGCACAATGGCAGTTTGGGGGCTCTTCGCCGATTCCCGCATTCCCCAAATCCGAATCTGTGCTCGGAGAAGTGAGCGAGAGAACGAGACGGGAATCTTGGAAGCATCCCAACGTTCCTTTGAAGGCTGCTGGCCTCTCTCACTCATCACGTACTCCTCTGTCAGTGGAGCAAGTTAATGTCATGCGACTGAGAGCCGAGACTTTATGTTTTACATTATTAATTTAAAATGTATTTATTTGATGTCTGGAACATTTGAGCAGGAAAGTGTTCAGTATATTGCTGCATTTGCAGATTGAACCCGATCCTGAATCCTGAAGCCCCCAAACAGAAGCACCAAGTTTACACCTCTGTAATGATTTGCCAGGATATCAGTCATGAGTTCTGATCAATTAAAATCAGATATCTGCCTGTCAGTGATGTCCAGGAGGTGAGAATGTCCCAGAGAAATCTGCTTCACATGACCTAGAATAACCTAATAAGTGCAGAGTATTGAGTTTTCATGGTATCTTTTTTTTTTTTTTTATTGAGTTGTCTGAAAGTGTTTGTAGTGGCAGATTCTGGCTGGAGAGGTTATTGTTTTTGGAGGATGAAGACTTCGAGAGAGTTGTCCATTTGACAATTACTCTTAAGTGGCAGAGAATAATTATTAATGCATTTAGTCATGTGTAACTAAGTACATTTACTCAAGTAATGGTACTTGAGTACAAATGCAAAATTTTATGTAAGTTTATACTTCTACTTTCATCTCAGAGGCTAGTTTTACTCTACTAGCTTAGTTACAAGATACTTTTCTGATTAAAATTTCTTTCTGTTGAGTGAAAACCATGTTTGTCCAAATTTGGTGATTTTGAATTCAAATTCTTTAGATAAATTGAAGGATGAAAGGGTCCTTTATGGGTCGAGAAACTTCTCCTACTTCTTTAGCTAAACAAAATGCATCGTCACAAAGCTGAAAATTGTCTTTCTGAGCTACAAACATATGGTGATCTTATAGAATATGATGCATTGCTGCAGATTTAACTACCCAACAGTAGATAAAGTAGTTAAAATGCGCTCCACCTTAAACACAGACAGCAGTAAAATGACATCTTTAGTTTCTCTATTCTTTGCATCCTGTCAAAAACAAAATTGTAATGGAAGCAGTTTTATATTTTTGGAACGAGGTGACGAGAGAAGAATCTAATCCTGCAGCCCATGATTTAATTAGTGTGGGAATCTGACAGACCAGAAACGATGTTAAACAAAAATCCACACATCTGGTGCAGAGAGACAACAGTTTAGCTTTTGTTCATTAGAAAAAGGGGCAGTACAGGGACACACAGTCGACAGTGGATCATACAAATCATAATAATCAGTGATTCTCCCCACGCAGCAGCACCGTGTAAACCAGAAAGTGATACAGTTTGAGGTTTGACTGGCTTTGACCTCTCACGTTTATTATAATGGAAAGTCATTTGTCATACCAGTTTCTCTCTGCCACAATATGAAGTGTATAGCGCTGCAAATCCACACCTTTGTTGTCGCAGGTTTGTCAAATCAAATTCTGGAAATCACTTACTGAAGTAGAAACTAGACGACGCAGATTGAGGGAAAGTTAGTTACAACATTTCAAAATAAAATTACTCCTGGACAGCACTGGACGTGATCTATAGTGCAGATTTTATTCTGTTTATTCTATTCTGTGTTTCATGGATGTATTTTAACCGTTAAACTTGCAACAACATGCAATAGATGTTTTCTTTGTGCTCCTCAGTGCTGATGGAAGAGCTGATCAGAGGAGACCACAGGCGGAGAGCATACGAGTAACCGTGAGCCCAGACGTGTTCAGGACACCGAGACAAACAGGTGTGTCTGTCTGCCATACTTGTTGTGTCTGTGAGACATTAGCTAATGCTGGAGTTTAACCTTTCTAGGTTCAAGAATCACAAGAATATAGATAGGAAGCATTTAACCTGAAGCTTAATGGCCGCAGCTTCAGTCAGATCTTTGGAGCTGATAAACAAGAGATATGTAGAGGTTGTCTGTGAAGCTTTATGTATCCTTGAAACAACTTTTTTCAGCTGACATGCTGATTTTTGAGTTGCAGATGATTAAAGGGAGCTCAGGTGTTTGGGAGTATTACTACATATGGGTAGTTATTTTACCAGGCCTGTGTAGCCTGCGCCTCATCTCTGCTGGAAGCTAGCGTCTCGAGGCAACATTAGCCGCTACTAGCATAGCACACCCAAAATCAACAACTGTCAGTGGTTGAGTTGAATTGTGGGTAATGTAGGCAGCAAGAAGAAGAAAGCGTAAGATAAAAAAATACACTATCTGTCAATTAAAAAAATAAATGTCCGTGAGTCGAAATGTTGTGATGCTAAATTAGAGGCGTCACTTTGACATGAAAAATGTCTTTTCCAGACTAATCATCTAATGATCTTAATTTAATTTAATTAAAATTTATATTTTGGGGCATCAGAAAATGGTTTGAGTTCCAGGGCTGAGAAAGAACATTATAAGTAATGTTGTTAACACTGTGCTACATTACAGAGAAATATAAACCCAATGAGCCTTTTTTTAAAAATAAAATTACAAAGGGTATGAAGCGAGCCGCCCTGTTAACGACAACCGGTAATGATTCTGAATGTTTCGAAACAACCAGCAAGGAGACTGAACATTTGTTAATTTATTTCAACACAGTATAACATCACACAAGTCATGAAAAGTCTCAAACCACAGGAACAAATAACTTCCAACAAGATCAAATACTCGCAGACATATTAACACGATAGATGATGCATAACGTTACAAATTAAGTCGCTACAGACTCGTTCCTTTCCCGCTTGACACCTTTCCAGTCCCTGCCTGAACCAGCCGTCATCCACAGAGTCAGAGTCCTGGTTGGAGACACTGAAAATCACCTTGTTGCTGTATTCCCTGTCGTCGAGCTGTGTTTGCTCCCAGACCCGTAGGCTGCTAAGACCGGTTCCGTTGCCTGTGTGCTTCGCTCATTCCGGCGCAGTTCCCTGGCAGCATTCCCCGCTCGGTCCTTCGCCCCGGGGCCTGAAAACCTCTTCCTCCTGGCAGCCCAAAGCTCCTGTGCTAGTAGTGTAAAGAAACACCAACACTGCCCCGGTATACTAACTACCTAATGCAGAGCCTACATTATATGACCCATGACCATGGCTGTACTATAAGATCCACATCCATGGCACTGACGAGCAGTGCGCCGCTAAGTGACTTCCATGTTACAAGATTAAATGTTCGTGTTGTAAAAATCCCCTGACCTTTTTGTCTCGGTCCTAACGTCAAGGCTGGGCTCCTGTATTGAGTTTTTTTTTCTGCGACTAACTGACCAATGAAAACTTGCATCACTGCATCCAGCCCAAATTTAAACAGTGACACTCGCCCCAGCTGGATAATTTAATCCCAGAGACATCTATACTTTGTTTCCTTACACTTTAAACTAAACTACCTCTCAATTTTGCTCTTATTTCCCCCCAAACTTCCTACAACAAACCGGTGCTTCAGGAACTGCTGAGAGAGAGAGAGAGAGAGAGTCAGCCCATTACATTAAATCTCATCACGTTCAACATGTTGGTTTCAGGTCACGTTTTAAGCCCTGCAACAATTCTCCAGCGACGTTCAACCTCTTTTATTCTCTCACCGTAGCCTGAGTGCTCTCCTCTCCTGGTCTCAGATGTCTGAAATGGCTAACTGGTCATTTAGGAAAAACACCCATTAAGAAAACATCACTACTACTTCTTCTTCTTCTTCTTCTTCTTTACTTCCTCCCCTCCTCCTTCCTGCTCTCTCCATTTTAATAATTCCATTTTTCGGGGGGTGATTAGCAATTGTCTCGCTATCAAATCGCTCTGTCATTTGATAATCCGGACTGTAGGCTATAGGAGGGAATTTGCATCAGCTTTTTAAATATCAGTATAAGGCACGCCTGGGTTTTAATGTCAATCATAACCTTATTAACGCAGAGCTCAGAGCAAGGGAGATCGCCATGAGTGACAACAGTTTACATTCGTTCAAACCCAGAGAAAAGGCGACATGTCCGACCCACTGAGTGAGCATGTAACCTGTTCAGGCATTCAGCTGTGTGTGTGTGTTTATGTGCTGTAGGGCTGCCGTGTGTGATTGTGCATGTCTAATGTTTGGTTGCTGTACTTGTTTAAAGTGTCACGGCTGCTTTACAGCAACATCTTCTGTCGTTTCACTTTGCTCTGCAGGAAGCAGTGAAGGTGACAGAGACAACAGGGATGTAAGTTGATTAACTAAAATCATATTATACATCATTAGCCATAGTTTATATAGTAATGTTATATAATATTGCAGTGGTTTAGTTGTAGCAGCATACTGCAGTACTGTAAGTACGACCTGAGGAAACGGGAGAAAACACATTTCTGCTACACAAAGATGTGTTTATATGGTAACACTTTTAATTAACATTAAATGTATGTTTAGTATTCGTCAACAATTATAACTTCAATTGTTATTACAACTGTGTTTCACTTCACTCAGTGGCCACTTTATTAGGTACATCTGTACAATCTAGAGCAGCTCTGCTATGAAATGTCACCTTCACAAAGTTTACAATGTGAAGTTTGAGGTTATTTACAAACATGTGAATATTAGAGACCTCTCAGGATAATTCAGTCCAGTACAACACTATTACTATGACCTCAATGCTAACCTCTACGACAGTGTCTTTATGGCTGAGCTGTTGTATTGGATTGTATTAGACTGTGATTGTATTAGACTGTACATGTGTACCTAATAAATTGGACACTCGGTGTATATAATCTCATCCAATATGTGTTTATACACCAGCCTCTACTTATGGGTGCCCACATAAAGAATTATAGTAGTTGACAAATACATTAATAAACACTTATTTCTTTTGATGTCATTAATATGTTAGAAATAATTGTTTCAGTCATTTTTCAAACAAAAAAAACAAATATATGCTGATTCCAGTTTCTCGAATGAGAAGAAATGAAATATCTTTTGGTTTTGAACAGTTTGTTGGATACAACAAGTAAAATAAGGGTATCAGTTTTGGCTCTAGGAAGTAGGGACAGGTGGGTTTTTTTCACTCCTTTTTGATGTTTTATAGACTTAAACGATTCATCGAGAAAATAATCGACCGATTAATCAAAACTTAAAATGATCGTTAGTTGCAGCTCTAATTCAGTTTACTGTTCCTACTGATATAAACTAAAAGATTAATAATGATGAAGGTTTCAAAATTCTACAATTAACTCATATATATGTTAGTTTTCTGCCAGATGTGAAATCTGTATAACCCTAAATAACGTTTTGTGTGGTGTAGCACAGTACAGATGTAGATTCAGAACAGGAAGCCTCTAAAAGCTCCACGCTTTCTTAATATTTTCAAACTGTGCAGGTTTATAAAACGTAACATTTCTGTTTGTTCTCTCTCAGGACGATGAAGACCTCGGGATGCTTCATGTGGTCCATTTAGGAATGGTTTGAAAGAGCACTTTATTAATCCCAGTGGTAATTTGGAGAGACACATCATCTCACCATAACAGGCTCTTTTGTCTCTTGTCTATACTTTATATGCAAAGCAGCCACTTACCTGTAATATTACCTCAATGCTTATCATTGTACAGAACAGTAGAATATATAGATGTCTGATAAAAGTGTAATACATGTGTATTTTAAGTAAACTCTTTAAACTGAAAAACAGTGTTTACTAAACAAACAGCCTTTGCTTTGTAACCCTGTCGTAATATATCTGTGAAATTTCAGCCAAATCAAAAATGCTGACGTAAAGTCAGGTTATTTTCTGTCTAAAGGAAATAAACCTTAAAAGAAAACAGTCACACCAAGTTCTGCCTTTAAATACACGACAGAAAATGTTTTAAACCTTTCCATTAATCAGCCTGAAAAAATAAAGACTTCTATTATACTCCCATCACCACTGATATTGAATGTTCCAGGCTTCCTCTGTCTGTCTGTCTTTGTGTGTGTGCGTGTGTGTGTGCGTGCTGTAGAAATGTGTGTGTTGGCCAAGATTACGGGCCACAGTTTTATTCATGAATAGGAGCCAACCAGCGTCTTTAAAGCATCGCGCGGAGCCCCTTTCCTGAACAGCAGCCATAGCCGTGTCAGAGCTGTCGACGCGCTGCGCTCACCGACTAATCTGACAGCGCCGCGCGAGCCCTAATCCCTCACTGTATCGTAATCTATTTACTTTGCATTCTAAGAGGATTTCCACCAAAAAATATACAAGAAGCGATGTTGGAAATGGACAGAAGATCAGCGAGGATGCTTTTCTGCTCCTTTTTTTTTTGTTTTGTTAGCTTTAAAAAAAAATCATTGTATGTTTTTTGGGGAGTCAATCCCCTGCGAGAGGGATGGGTGAAAGGAATTACATCTGACTGATACTAATACTTCTCTTATGTAAACATCAAAATGTTATATTTCCCTTCTGATGATACAGTCACACTGCAGAGATAAGTGGCATCTGTCGATGCCTTTAGTGCATCTCTTGACACGTTTGTAATTTACAGACCAAGGCTGCATTATCTCCTGATTGTTCGACTTGACAGCTTGAATAAAAGCTGCAAAATTGCTTAACAGGCGAGCAGGAGTTCCTCCCATCTCTCTGATGGCCTACACAGTAGCCTTGTTGACATGCAAACAGTCAAATCTCCTCTTTCATAATACAGAAAACAAGGTACGAGACCAAATGCTCTCTTCAGTTACCCTTTAAGCAATTATGTCAGCTTTGTGAAATCATAAATAGTTATGCTTCATTTAAAATGTGGCCAGCAGCTTTATTGTAAACCACAGCCTCACGCTCAAATCTTTGCCATCCGAGATGACTCGCAGAGATAGGCTTATTAGTGGTATTAACATACTGCGCGGCATGCTGGAGCTGTGAAACGGCCTTGTTAACATTTGGAAATGAATCAAGCCTCAGGCACTTGCTATTATCCAGGTTATCTGGATTTTTTTTCCTCCTCTCCTCTGTGCAACAGCTGTGCAGTGTTTCTGCGGAGGCCTTATCACATCTAATGATGGCTCTGATTGGACGGATGCTGTTTCCCCTTAGGGGCCCATTGTATGTTTTATAGGTTTGTTTCACTGATCTCCACAAGCCAGCTCCCCAAAATATTATAGACAAATATGTCAGGACCATTAAAGACATCAAAGAGACTAAATTACTTACAACTGAGGGTAATTGGAATGATCTTATTCCCAGGAAAAATTACTGAAGAGTTTCTTTCAGTTATCGGTTCTCAAGTCAGTGAATGAGACGTATTTGCATAAGGATCATACCACAAGTACTTAATTATGGTGCAACGTATCTGTATTCTGTATCTGTTTTTGCTTCCTGATAAACCCCAAAAGCATTATAATTTAATACTCTATGATTAAAAGAGAGAGAAACAAGGAATCTGCTGAGACAAAAGTTAAGATAAATGTTTAAAACTGATGTTCAGGTGGTCGTCAGCTGTAAGACATGGTTAAATACAATGCATCGTCATCTGACTGGTGTTGAAAATACTCTATTAGGATTTCTGTTGTTGGGTTTTTATAACAAATTAAACCAAAAATAAGTAACATCACTACAGAGGTTACTTTTTTGCAAACAAAAGAAATATGTATTTGCAGCAGATAAACATAATATATAATGATTTATCTTCTGTATAGCTAGTTTTCCAAAAATAGTATTCACTTAATATTTTTAGGAAAGATTTCCTTCATCTTAATCTGTGGTTCTTGTTTTAAAGGTCAAAGGTCATGAGCAAGGTTTAGCCACATCTTAACCATGTTCCATCAGTCAACTTCTCAGAGAGGCAGATGTAGTTGTTCTGCGTTTCTGCCCTCTGGCTCCATATGTGGAGAGAGATTTGTCAGCAAAGAACAAACTACATGAACGAGGAAATGCGTCCGACAGGTCAAGCGGCGGCGATCTGTTGACACACGGAGACGACATCCTCTGTGGGAAATGCTAAAGCTTGCAGGCCAACAAGCCTCCATTAGGCTTTCTCATGTCTGCAGGGCTTAAAGGAAAAGACAAGTTGTGACTTGGGACGAGGGTCCGCTGCATCCTTTCCAGATGAGATAATTCAAGCCCTCTTCAAATACCTTTCTGCTCCATCCCTCCTTAAGGAACAGGGAAGTGAGGACGTCTTCAGGAAGACCGGAATCAAAGCATCTAAAGGAGTTCTGTCCAGAAAAACCTTTGCTTTCACCAGTCCAGTCTTGTCTGATTTCCCATCGGCTATTTCTATGAGGGAAAGAAAGAAGGAAGTGTTTGACTGCTCCACTGACCTCAGAACAGCGTTCTCTGCTGCTCACATCCTTTGATTTACTGGAAACTGCTAAGGAACGTCACTGAATTTTGGGAGTTTGGCCCACTGATTATTTTGTTCAGTATCTCATAAGAGCAACAACGCCAAAACCACCTGCGTGTCTCAGGTAGACGGCTCTGTTTAGCATACGTGCTTATACTTAAGCATGTAATGTTAGTGGTTAGCATAACACAAAACAAGAAATTAACATTTTAGCATTTGTCTGTTTGTGTTATTTTTGGCCATGCTAGCAGCACGTCTCCAGGGCTGTCGGTCCACCGCTTTGGTCCAGACTGAAATATTTCATCAACTATCGGATGGATTGTCTTTAAATTTTGTGCAGACATATATAATCCCTCGGAGGATGAATCGTAATGACTTTGGTGAACTTCACATCTAGCTTCAACTCCTTTGTGCAATACTTTGATTTCTGATCAAATACCTGCAAAACTAAGAACCCCATAATTATCCCACCAGCCATAGCTGTAGTGTGCGTTTCTCTCTAATAAACAAATTGTAGCATGCTAACACGCTAAACTAAGATATTGAACACACTGTAGTTGGAGATGTACCGGCATAACATCAGCATTGTCATTAGGGCTTCAACTCTTTTCTCAATTTGGCCTTTGTTATGTTTTTGGTGATGGCATCACGTGTGTTATTTTGTCCGATGAAAAGTCCCAAACCCCAAAATATTAAATTTAACACATTTTCACATTTGAGAAACTTAAACAAGAGAATGATGAGATGTTTTAATTCTAACTTCAGCGATTAATCGATCAATCGACTAATCTTGCAACTCTTTTTAAAGTTGTGAGCATGTTAGCCGCTTATATTAACATTTACGTTTGCATTTACCTGCCTCACAGAGCAGCTAGCATGTTTATTTTATTACTACAACATGTATATTCATTATTTGTCATAAATGATTCTTGGCCTTCATAATAATTAAAGTTATTTACAACTCTGTAGTAAATAAAAGCATCTATGTGGCTTAACTAAACCTGAAGGAAAATGCTAATAAGCTTCAATCACAGCCATACACAATGCAAATACTGCCAAACACAGTGACCAGATCTGTCTGTCTGACATGTAGAGAGGTGACCGGCCCCCCGACACACCTCAGGTCTGACCAAAGTCCTTTAATTCCCCTTAACAGCTGTGGGGAATCAATCGGAAGGAAATGAAAGGAAGAAGCTCGACCCAGCAGAGAGACGGTGTGTCCTCCTGACGGTGTCCTCTGCTCAACTTAAATCTACAGTATGTAAACCCACAAGGAATTTCATGAATGCTCTCAGTGCCTTGTGTCAGAGGGGTGACTAAGCTGCTTTCACTCCACCAGCTCTGCTGTGCTGGCCGCCTGGACTCAACTGTGAAATCCCCTCACAGGAAGCAAAAGGTACTCTCACCTTCTTTGAGTTTGGATGACGGATTCAAGAGGTTGGCGGTGGCTTTACTGGCAAACGTGTGTATGTCACACAAGGAAACGCTTCAAAATTACATTAACATCTACTGCAACTACCACTTTTATGTGTGTGAAGAAGACGAAACAAAAAACGAAGGACTTTTCTGACAAAGCCGAGAAACCGGAGACGGTGGCCTGGACTCCACGCATGTCAGTGTACAGTTGACCCCAGATTAACCTCCCAGGTAAATGTAACCCTCTGTATCATCTCGCACACCTCATACCAGCCTATGAACACACCGGGATGCCAACGTCTGGCGACAGTCAACAGCCAATGAAAGACAAGTGTGGGGTTTTTTTGTTTTTTTTTTCTTTCCTTGTCCTGCATGGAAATGGAAGACAAGAAAATAATCCCAGCATGCAGGCGGATATCAGTGCATCTCCTGGTCCTTCGAATCTCCTCCCCCTCCTCCTCAGACACGCTTTGACTCATCAAAGGCCTGTAAGGTCTCTCAAACCTCAAAATACAATACGGTTTCTGTCTTTATCTCCCTGTCTGTCTCTCTTTGCTAGATACAAATCGCAGCCGCTCATGCAAAAACAGTCCAGCTCGGTTCCAGTTCACCTCCTGGACAAGTGTGAACAAAATGTCAACAGTTTCCAGTCCACCCACATTCAGACACCTTCAGTCGAGTGGGCGAGAGGCCATAAGGTCGACGACAAGGCGACGTGATGCAATCGATCGTCCTGTTGTGCAGTGTATGAAGGCGTCAGACCCTCAGCTCAGGTTAAAACAACACACACAGGCGTGCAAACAAGCGTAAAAGTGATGAACTGGTCCAATAACGTGCTTTTTTTTTAATTAAGTATCAGATCTCAGTCAGTCATGACGGACTGTCCTTGAATGGAAAACCTTTGGAAATCCTGTGATATTTATTTTCTTAGTAGATTTATTTTAATTTTTCAACCTTGACACCAAATTTTAAGGCTTTAACGACATTTTTGAGGCTTTTCCCAACATGGAAATAATGAAATGCGGATGTAAGAACTGATTCCATGTAGTCTTTGGTAAGAAAACGGTTATGCTTTAAAAAAATATAGCGTCCTCGTGCTGCTTGACCCTTTAACCCTAAAATCTTCTCAATGCATTCCAAGCAATTCCAAGAATTAAAACCTGGTGTGTTAAGCAAAGAGATGAACTGTTTGACTATTAGATGGTATCATCATCTTAATCACTCATAATCCTTCTCTAAGGTAAAGGTGGATTTTTGGTTCCTCCCCTCACTGAAGAAGCCAAATCTCTCACTGCGGTTCAGACGAGGCCAAACAGTTTGGCGTCAAAACACATTTTCTTTACCACTTTTGTTCTCAACACGTTGTTGATGTAAAGGACGTTTAGAAGGAGGAACATATCTAATTCGGATTTGTGCTTTTTCTACTTGATAAAATGTTGAGTGCACTGCATTCATTTCCTCTCATTGTTTTTAATTATCACTTCCAACCTCACAGAAGGGTGTTATTTATTTCTGCACAGTCTGTTCAAGAGGGTTTTTAAGATACCTGTTGATTCAAGGTGTGTTTTAATACACTTGATAGAGTGTTGAATGACTAGGTGGTGATTTTAAAAGTCAGTTAACCTGATGTGTGTGTTTAAAAGTCTTTAGTCAAAGTAAAATTACTTTTAAAATAATAGCATCTTTACATCAATCTGAAATCTACATATTGGCATAAACAAAAATAAACAAAGTATATGAAGTGTTGTGTGAATAAGATATGTTTTAATAGGTTAGATGTTGTTATTTGTTGTAATGTGATTTTTTATTTTTGCTTAATCTACATGCTTCATTTCCATCATCAAACTCATTACATTGTTTACCAAACATTTTCACAGCATCTCAGTGGAAATTCTGTGGAAATATTCTCTTTATTTATCCTAAATTGAACCTCAAAAATAATAAAGCAGCAGCTGAAGCCTGTAACAAAAGTAAATTAGAGTGAGGCTCTAAAATATAATAAACATCATGATGCCTGTTAGAAAATATTTGAATACTGGCTACTAATGACTGAATGGGTGGGGGGGTCCTGCTTGTATCACGTGATCTCCGGGCTTTTTACACAAGACGTGACGTTGTTTCACCTAAACAAACCTACAGTATAATGTATAATGTACAGATAATACATTTTATACTTTGTCCTACTTTTCCCCGCATAATAACACGTGTATGTGTTTCATCCTTGCATGCTGGGTAACAAAACCTCATCTCACTAACAGTCTGCAGGATGAAGCATATTTTCTATAAATTCTCTCGTCCCGAGATTTCCTGTTTGTTGTTCGTTCTTTATCAGGATAAAAATCTAACTTTCTTTGTAGTTTTCTACTTTTTACATGCATTCTCGCCCGTGCTGCTGTTTTAATTAGTCACCTTGTGCCCTGAAGGCCGTAGAGAAACATCTTCTGCATTGTGCAGAAGAGGAAACAGCGGCTCTCTCCTCTTTTCGCGTCTTCGGGTGTTTGAAGGTGAGCAGCTGTCGCATGTGTGGGACCTGTGGCTCTCTCAGACTCCTTAAACAATCCCACAAGATTGGTCGCAAATGTTTGTTTGATGCAAATCCGAACAAATCCGCCGCTGTTCGTGGACACTCGCTGCGCTGTTTGCGCGTCTTGGCGCAAACATGTTTAATGTCCCGGTCGGCAGATATTTATTCAGCTGCTGCGAGCTTCATTTACATAAAGAGGGAGAGACAACACACGGCTGACTGCAGCTGAAACATGCTGTGCACACGCAGGGAGAGACCTACAATATGTATCGATCAGGCTGACGGGAGGGATTATCGATGGCTTTTTAGGACAGCGGACCCCAACATGTTAGGCTTGTGGTTCTTTTAAAAAGAAGCAACGCGAGTTGTGACCCCTTATCACAGGCTGTAAGGCTTCTCATCGAGATAATTTTTAGTCCTGAAGAGTTGAAAGCAACCAAAAAAATAGCAAAATCAGAGATAATGTAGCTTTTTATGGAGCCCCGTTTCTTATCGATCATCCTGCCTCAGTGACGCGGCTCCTCAACCTTAAGGCTTGTGTGACCCTCTAAATTCATGAAAAGTTTACATATTTGTGATGAGCTGCGAGCAAAGCGTGATTTTTACCTTCTCAGATTATTAATTTCAATATTTTTAGAGGCCTTAAGAGATAAAACGACCTAATATTTAAGAAGTCAAAAGCAAGGATACAAGAAATGTAGCAGAATTTTTTTCTTCCTAACTCGCTATAATCTTACGACCCATATTATGATTTAGTTAAAAATTATTCAGTTGCAACTAAAGGTCTTTTTGCTGCTTGTTTTAGTCACATTTCAAGGAAAAAGGTTTCTGCGTCTCAAACGTAAGCATGTTGATTTTCGTTAGATTTTGTGATGAACGCCTTTAGGAGTGGAAGAAACGATATGAAGATGTCACATTGGGCACATTTTATGGACGAAACAAAGAATCTATTTAATCCGATTAACCTTTTAATAAAAATAATTATCAGTAGAAATAAAATGACTGGACGCTAAAATAGGCCTCAAGACAAACTCATCTGCTGGATTCTGCTTCTTTTCTTACTTAAACTTTGGTGTTTGTCTTAATTAGAAAAGGTGCGCACATCCTGCTCCCTTTGAGGGGTGATTTCTCTGCACAAGGACGGCAGAAGGAATTTGCATCGTTTATTGCCTCCTCTGCTGACAGTGCGGCCTTCACTGGTTAATAAACGTGCTCTTCCAAAACAACCTTGCCAGAGAACTGACGCGATATTTATATATTTTTTACTTTAACTCCCCCTCCCCCTCCTCTTTTATAATGCGTTTATGCTCGCAGGCATAACACACACACTTTACATCTGACCCCCTAACCTGGCCCCACCCACGTAATTACCGCATCAGAGCCAGTGAAATTCCTGCAGGTTATTTTGGAGAAACCAACTCAGGGCGCAGGAGTAATTATCACGCCATTACAGCGCTGCATTCAATTACGCCTCGATCAAATGTCTCCCGGCTCAATATTTAGGGCTTTTTAACGCCGCAGTTTAAAAAAAGACACTTGGTCTCCCTAAAGCGAGGGGAGATGTTAGTGTTTCAATTTAAAGACAGGGAGGATTAAAACTGGCTGCTCTCTAAAATGGAAATGCGGGCTTAACACGTGCGTTCACGGCTTGTATTAATTATGGGTCTAATTTGCATTTACCCCGTTATAATTAGGAGAGAAAAAAAACCCTAACAAAATCAACAAGCTTTTGAATAAAAAAGTATGACAAATTCAAAAGAGAAAAACAGGAGTGTTGTTTTGTAATTTGCTGGTGTACATGTATCTAAAAACAACAACTCTGACTCCCTGTTGGGAATCAAACTGAGACAGGATAAATATGACTTAACGGATCTTTATTGGATGAACATGTATGTAAGGGTGGTCGCCTTAAAGATACATTCAACATCTTACTGTCATTTTGGAGCTACAAATCCACATTTCCTCTCTTCCTCCAAAAAAAAAAACAAAACAAATAATTAAAATAAAATAATAAAATGCTCTGACTCCAATATCAAGCCAAGTGCTGCAGTTCAAACATGTCCAATATCACAATGCCCAAGAGAGGAGGTCTGCTTTGAAAATGTAGAGGCTAGAATAATAATAATTATTAATTATAATAATAATAATAATATCCGGAAAACAAAGTGTAGCCTGGACAAAACGCCCAGAATAGTTCTGCATCTATATTTTAGATGTTGAGTTCCCAAGACATTTTTTTTTCTGAGTAAAACAATGTATATAAAAGCTGAACTTTATGGCCAATTTTGTTCTCTTTGGAAAGATTTACATACAGGTTTTTTTCCCCCCCATCTTTTCTTTTCATCTTCTTCTCCCCAAAGTGGTAATAAACAATTTTAAATTCAGAGGGAAAAAATAAAACACCAACTAAACATGGTCACTGTAACTGACCCAAATACATATTTACATATTTCAGCTCCTCGACGTAGCTGACTAAAAATCTCTGTCATCCTAAAATAACAAATTTTTTGAGAAATAAAAACTATACAGGATTTGATTGGGTCGGAGGTAAAAGGAGGGAGGCACTGCAGGCAAGTTCCTGTCGGTGCACCAGAGGGGAAAATATTCCTCCCATCCAGAGAGCTGGTGGTCAAAGGAGTTTGGTTGAAATTACTTTTTTTGTGTGTTTTGGAAAAACAGTTTGGTTTTCTTAAGGTCATCCAAGTAGAAGCCTCTTAAAAACCCCCGCTCTTCATCAGGAATCTGCTCCTGTTGTCTTCTCTTCACTTTCTCTGCTCTTGTTATTTATTTATTTATTTTTTTTAAAAGGTTTTTAATTTTTAAAAAGTGGTCGGGAACAAGAGGGAGGGGGGAAAAAAACAAAGTCCGGTGGCTGAGCATTCCTGCTGCTATCTTGTTGTTGTTGCTGTTATCATACGGTTCATAAACGGTCTTTTTTTAAAACAAGCAATATGCTAATCTGGAAAATAAAAAGAAGAAGAAGAGGGAAGCAGAGGAGCAGGGAGAGGACGAAGCCTGATCACAAGACTTGGAACCTCCAGGAGGCCTGGTCTTTGTAGTCCAAGCAGTCTGTGGTGTTAAAGTTGAGCTTCCACGAGGAGGCTGCAGTCTGCTCTTTGTAATCCAGGCAGTCGGAGGAGTTGAAGGCCAGGCTGGAGCCGCCGTAGGCCTGGTGGTGGTGGTGATGGTGGTGGCCTGACGACTGGCTGATGTGGTGGTGCGGGTGGCCTGACATGGAGGAGGCCGTCATGGGGCTGAGCTGGTGGGGGTGGTGGTGGGAGTGCATGGGGGCCAGGTAGGAGCCGCAGTCCACGCCGCTGAAGTAGGAGCTGGACGGGGCGGGGTAGCCCTGGCCATAGCCCGGCGTCTGGTTGTAGGACATTGGGTAGGAGGTGGCTGCAGCGGCGGAGCCTGACATTGAACGCTGCATACAGGAGGCGTTAGAAGGGGGTCCGGGCTCTGGGAGCGGGGCCACGGCAGGGGCGGGAGCATTTCCGGGGGAGATAGCTGGGCTCCAGATGGAGGAGACGGTGCTGATGGAGGTAGAGGTGCTGCTGAGCGCCGCCGGGCCCGTGTGATTGGTGGAGGAGGACGAGGACGAGGACGAGCCCGTGCTGGAGACGGCAGGAGGGGTGAACTGGCCGCTGCTCTCGGATCCGGTGCTCTCGCGGGCCGGAGAGGACTTCTTCTTGGGCGGCCTGGCTTTGGCGCTGCTGCCGCTCTGCTGCTGCTGGCGACACTTGGCCCTCCGGTTCTTGAACCACACCTACAACCGAGAACACCAGCCAGGAGTTACACAAGAGAAAAACTCAGCATTTCATACAAAAAAAAAAAAAAAAGATACTCCCAGGCCACGCTGCAAGTACATTATGGAGGAAAATTGGGGGTTATTAGCCATGAAGGTTCATTTCCACCCAGGCCCCTTGGCTCGGACCAGCCAGGGGTCTAATTTCATACCTGGTAGACAGCTCTAAGATAACAGGCTATTGGGTTTCACCACACAGTAGGGTAACTCTAGAGCACCGAGAGGGTAGGATCATGTAGAGCATTTTGTTTCACACACACATTCTGAGAATAACTCAAATTGTGTGTGTGAAAGAGAGAGAGAAACCTGTCTAGGTTTCCCCCTTATGCCTTTCAAGAGTAGTATTTGTTCAACATCATAGTGCTTTAGTGGGTTGTTTGGAGTATTTCCTGGCATACTGGCTGGCCTCTTCATTATAGATCCCATGTTTCAGATCAAATTACACAGCATTTGGTTAGGTTGCATCAAATAATAATTAATTTCACCTGATTCAGATGAGAAACAAGCTTTTCCTAATCTGAAATGTAGTTTTGTTTACATCAATATGTACAAACAGTTGTGTGTGTTGTATTAAAGTGGTGAACCAGAAGACAGAGGTGGGGAAATAGGAGTATATAAATAACCACAACCATCCCCATTAACCTGCCCCTCCTTGCTGGTTTAACGGTATAACACCTTACAGTTAATGTTAGCCTACTTATTAAAACCAGTCTGTATAATTTTCCAATCATAACTCATACAAGTTAGTTATTATCCTGTTTTGTCAAAACACTGAACTAACAGGTCTAAGATTTCGGTTATATTACCATTATTTTGCATGCAGGTTAATTAAGTTATCCTCCTGTTAAAGTAGCCTACATGAGAAAGTGGGGTTTGAGATATTTACTGGTATAAATACTGCAACAAAATACTGAACCTAATGGATTTGTAGAAGATATTGGACATCAAAGTCAGCTATGTTAGCTAGCTATCTTTGACCATGATTTAAAAAAATAAATAAATAAAAACACAAATGAGACCATCATGATATAGCCTATTGGTAAATGACAATAAATGTAACTTGTATTAGTAAAACTAGTTTCTGGTGTCAAATAGAAACAAACATAATACCTTTTGAAATATAAATCAGTAATTATGTAAGTAATTACTTTGAGTAGCTAATGTAAAGCTGTTAGCAAAAAAAAAAAAAAAAAAAAAGCTAGCTTTAGTGGCAGTTTCTGAATTTCAGTTGGAATCCTGGTTTGACCGTTGGTGAGGACGTTTACAAGCTTTTAGCCTCTTTATCAGGGGTTCAGTGTTAAAATAATAAAAAGCCAACCCTGAGCAGCGAAATCACGCTTTTATGAAAGTGTGTAAATATGTGTCAGCTAATCACGAGTTCATATCTAGGCCCGAGTTAACCGTTGGCCCAGGCAGGTTCCCACCGTTTTACTGAACACACGGAGTTAAATGCTTCAGTTTTCACCTGGACTCTGGACTCGGGCAGGTTGATTTTCAGTGCGACCTCCTCCCGCATGAAAATATCCGGGTACCGGGTTTTGGCGAACAGAGACTCCAGGACGTCGAGCTGGGAGCGGGTGAAGGTCGTCCGCTCCCGTCGCTGCTTCCTGGGAGTCGCTGGAGAAACGAAAAAAGGGCCATTACTAAAACTGTTTATCACATTAATATATTAAAATGATAAAATAATGCTTAGGACACACACACACACACACACAGTGAAACGTTAGGCTACAAGTGAAAAATAATAATCGACCTCACGGACTTTCATCTAAATTAGGTCGCACAAAAAAATAAAATCTTTGTTATCTTCAACATCTGAATAGTACTGATGAAAGTTGGACCTGTGTGTGTTTTATCCTGTGTGCTTATTTTTGCAGTGGTTTCATTGCTTTCAGACGCTGAACTGTTGCACTGACATCATTTGCATGTGTGGAGAGATAAGACAATTTAACCTTTCTTTATTTTACACTGATAACTAAAACACTGGTGCTGTTTTTCTTTCAGGATTTGACTAAAAACCTAAGCCTGCTTGCTTTTATTTATGGTAGCCTAAGCTGTAGGCCTACATTTTGTTTGTTGTCTTGTAGGCTAAACGTTTTTTCCATGAAGGCCCAAAACACATGTAGGCTATTATTATTATTATTATTATTATTATCCCGTTATTACGGTTGTTGTTATTATTATTAGGCCTATTACCAACCAAAACTACGTCGTTTGTTGGTAATTTTTGTAACGATGACTGAAGCGGTTACAGTTCACTCCCGGTTATTTTGGCTTTTATCTCTGTTTACTGGTCCACACTGGCTGCAGCTGGCTCTTCTCTGGTGCATTGATCTTTAAAAGGTGCGTTTGTGTGTCGGGCTCCTACCTGGGTAGCCCACTGAAGGGTGCAGCAGGTCCATGGCAGCGCCGCTGAGCCCCAGGCCGTTGACGCCGTAGGGGGGCTGTTTGAGGTAGGACATCATGCTACAGGCGGTCACTGCTCCACCCAGCTCAGGCCAGTGGTTCGGTTTCCCCCGATGCTGCAGCTTGACGGGACAGGGGGCCGATCCAAGTTACTGCACACACACACACACAAGAAATTAGAGATATAAAAGAGGGAAAGTCAAAGCGAGTTTATTGCAGGGGAGGGAGCCTGTGGATATTTAGAAATTTTTAACACAACTAATTAGGCTATACGAGCTTTTGTCTCACTTTTTTTTTTTTTGTATATTCAACGGATGGAAATCCCGCTTCCCAGACATTTTAATTGGGACGTTTGGAAACTAGTAAGAAAAGAAAGAAGCATCGTTACATAAAGTTCCTAAGAAATTATCATAATTATTAAGTTGCAGCAGGATAAAAACAAAAACAAAACTATGAAGTCATAATTCAGACGCACATTAAATCCCTGCAGGAATATTGGATATTTGGGTAACCGGGGTCAGACGGCTCCAACCCACGAACCCAGGAGGAAAACAATCCGCAATCTGACAGCTTTTCATTTACAAACCAAGTTTTATTTCAACACGACAGAGCTCCATAACTAATGAAACGAAGAAACACTGGAGGAAAGATATTTGTAAGCATTTGTTTACAGTAAAATATTTGTTTTCCATGAGTGTTTTTATGTTTGAGCACAAGCCGGATGTTGATATAGCCTCCAACCTGCTGAATATTTACAGTATTTTTCTTTAAATTATAAATTTTCCCCATGCTATAAATTGTTGTAAAAATGCTACAACTTTACTATTTATTTATTCCCTCAAACAGTGGACTAATTAATTATTCAGTCAAAACAATCTATTGATTTCTTATGTAATCCACCGTTTTAAAAGATCTGAATATTCACTGAGACCTTTTAGAAAATTATAAGACATTTTATCTCGTTAACTTTGGTTAGTCTACTTTTAAAAATCTAAAAGCAAAAACGCCGTAAGAAGTGTTTAATCTAATTTACACATTTCAAATAATAAAATGCAGGATTCTTATTGATCTGCTACATGTTTTATTGCAACTGTGTTTATGATTTTATTTCATGGTAAGAATAAAAGAGCTGCAGCTCGTAGCCTCCAGAGTAAAATGTGTGTGTGAAAGTCTGCACTTACACACACACGTTCAAAGATGGATTATGGATGTTTGATAATCTATATAAATAAGGCTACAGTTTATTCTCATACTTCGACAAACTTTGTATTTTGACCACAGACCCCTGTGGATCCTCAGTTCTTGGCTGAAATAAAATTAATCCACAAAACTCAATTTATACCCATTCTCTTCAGGGAAAGATCTGAGGGGCCAATTTTACTCCTTTCCGTAGATAAAGTAACTTATTTGTTTCAAGAAATCATCATTTTAGCACCAATGTTTTTCTTTATTTTAATGCTCAAGGGGGAAAAAAAACAAACTCCATTGGAGAAAAAAAAGTTAAATAATTTCTTCACTTGACTTTCACCAGATTAACTAATCCTATAATTATATTTTCTGTAAAGCGCAACTACAATTTCTTACAATTGCGTAGGTTTAAATATGCTATAGCCTGTTAAAGGATAGATTATACACATTTGTTTGTTTCCTCAGTAAATACGACTGAATTAGTGATTCAATTTAGGGGAGGACATCTCCTCAGCCGGCTGCCTCTAAAATTTACAAGCAGATAATGAAACCAGTTTATCTTAATGCACTAATTCAACAATCAAAACATACTTAACTTTTCATTAAAAATAACCTGCATTACATTCAGAAAACACTGATAATCCTGATCGAGGTCTGAAAGCGTGAAGCCATTTTTTTTTTTAATAAACTGATCATAAAGTTTGATTTTTTTTTTCTCCCCTGAAAGTGGAGAATTAGACTATCCAAATAAAAAAAATAAGAGAGTTTAAAGCGTGTGAATTAAATTAGTGTATCTGAAGGGGGAGATAGTTTTAACAAGGAGCTCCTAACTGACCAAACGTGTATTCCAGCAGCTTTTTAAAACCGCATTTCAAGCCCTGCCAGGCCGGAGTGAAAAGGCGAGATCTCGGTGCAAATGAACTCAATTAGAATTTAGATTAGACCTCCGGGGAGAGAGAGCGTTTCAGAAGGGCTCTTATCAGCAAAATAAATTAACAAAAACCAAAACACGCCTCTTCAATTATCTACTAAGTGGTTCAAACGTTTTAATGGCCAATTGCTCTCAAAAAATAACTCGCAGAATGAATTGGAATAGAAATATGAAGATTATCTACTCTGGAGGAAGTTGGCTCAATTTATCCAGTTCAAGTCGGAGTCCTCCACGGTGCCGATTAATTGATATCCGCAAAAGAAAAATCCCACAGACGTGCAGGGGTGCAAATTGAAATCATGCACCACACCGCACGTCAGAATTTCAGGTTTTAAAGACCTTTGAAAAAGTGACTTTTCTGTCGCTTTGACACTTCGGCTGCTCATGTTAAAAGATGAATTCTTTTGTTGATCGGAGTTAAAAGCAAAAAGTAAAAACTACTAACCGAAAGAATCGACATTAAATTATTGAGAGAAAGCAGAAAGAACATTACCTTGTTTTTCTCCGTCCCTTCTCCCGAGCTCTCGGGCCACAAGAGGCGAGCAGCAGTAAAATTATCCAGCAGTAGGAAGTCTGCAGGGCACAAAACTCAAACAGCCGCAGACTGGTTCAAAAACAAACAACTGTGCAAACCGAGCGGCATCACGGAGAAACGCGCAGTTATCAGCACACGGGCGTCACCGCGTCCTCGGTGCGGTTCCGGGTGCTTTTACAGCCAAATAAATCAAACTCATTTGCTTTCAGGGGGCTTGTCGTTGTCTGTCAGAGTGTTAAGGTGATTTCTAATGGAGACGGATGGAGATTGATCACCTTCTCTCCGCCCTGCGCCTCTATGAGCGGAGGACACCTGCGGATCCGCCTCCTGCAGCCAATCGGCGCGCGTTTGCGCGCTGACGGACGGCGGGGACGGCCTATCCGCGCAGAGGCAGCCGGGGAGAGCCCACTCCCACTCTCCCCCTCCTCTCGGTCCCGGTCCCGAGACCGGGCGAACCAAAGAGAGGTTTCAAAAAAGATGGAAATGTTTCACAGGCCTGCAGGAGGAAGTGCTACACAGAGGGCCAGACTCTGCTGTGCGCCAAAGTGCGTAAAGAAGAAACTGAATTTAGAAGATATTTACACTTCATTGGAAGAGTTTCTTGTTTTATTATTTGTACGTAGCTTCACAAGGAGAAGAGGTAGTATTAGGAGCATCTTTGGAGCGACCAACAATAGTAATAGTTTTGTAAAAGAAAAAAATCTGCGGACTTTTCCTCCACCTAAAACTTATTTCCTTGCTTCCTTGAATTGGCTGAAAGTGTCGTGTTATTTAAAAAAAAAAGCATCAAATCAGTTGTTAAATAACATAAAAAAGTGAACGTGGTAAGAAAAAAGGAGGAAAGATGTTGGATTCATCCATTTTGATTTTATTGTGATACCCCCCTCTCTCTCTCCACACACACACCAGTCTCATGAATATTAATGAGCCCTAATCCCCATTTAGAATTACATTTGAGGATGGCTGACGTAAAGTTTAATAGGGATAGACCTCAAACTCAGTGCGGAGGAAAAAAAGAATCCACAGAAGAAGAAAAAGCAGCACCAGAAGCTGCGGTCACTGAATCAAATCCTGCACTTTAAATGTCGATGTTTTTAATGTGTTTTTAACCCCCATCACGCACAAACAATCTGTATTTCCGTTTCTTTTTGTTTGGCCCGTGTGTCAGTGAGGGTCGCGGAGATGCAGCCCAGCACGGCTCGGCTCGGCTATCCTTTGTAGATCTCTGCAAAAAACACCAACCTTTTTAAATGAGGCCTAGGCTGAAAGCGAGCTAATGTTCAGAGAGAGAGAGAGAGAGAGAGAGAAGCTGCAGGGATGGAAATTACATTTTTACGTGTGTGTGTGAGGGGGAGTATCAAAGTGGAGGCCGATGGGACTTAAAAGTAATCCACGAGAGCACTTTGACAGACAAAGTTAGACATCAAAAGTCGACCCCCCAAAAAAGGGAACAAAATACTGTTGGAGGCCTGTAGTGATGCTGCTTATTACAGGCAGGATCACCGTTAAGGATAAGGGCACCTGAACGCACCTTAATATGCAGGAATGATGTCTATCCATGTTTTTACGCACAAAGGCCAAAATCAAACGCAAAAATCAGACTGATGGTGACAGTGAGCGTGGTTAAATATATGAATGAAGTGAGGTGGCGTCCAGAGAAGAGAGGCGTCGTTAAGTGACGCTTTACTGACCATTTTCTTGCGGGGGGTTAACTGATTTCTGTTTGCGTTGCCTGGCTGCAGACTGGAGGTCAAACACTTTTTACGCACGTTTTTTTTATTTATTTCCACCACATCTGATGTCCGAGCAGTCAGAGGGCTCATGGAGGGTCTGCCCGAAATACCATCACCCCTCCTCTCCTCTGCACACACTCACACAGGCTCCGTTAAATTATGCAAAAAGGCCATTCAACAAATATGGCCCTCACAACACAAAAGAGCCGGGTTATTCTGACATTTCCCCTACATTTCTTGTTTTTTTTATTCCTCTCTCGATGTGAGTAAGACCCCGAGATAAACCCCTGAACAAGTATCAAGTTATCAAGTTGCACCAACCTTTTGTAATAAGAGTATTTTGTCTAATCCCAAATTGCAGTTGAATTTTCTTAATGCTGAGCTGGTAAAGCCTGGGATTAGGCGGCGAGGAGAGGAGGGGGAAAAGTTTTGTCCCTTCAGCCGGCAGGATTGGAAGCGGGGATCTGCGGGGATGTTGTCGGTGCTTATTAAAACGATGATGCATAAAACACAGTGCTGTAGGAGCCCCGGCGCTGCACGCAGAGACCCGGGCTCCCTCAGGTGCAGGTTTTTGGACGGCGGCGGGGAAAGGAAGTATTGCAGAGGCCGAGCGGCGCTCAGCACCTGTGAGGTGAGGCCAGGAGACATCAAAGCTCAGGAGATAATCCATTCAGCTGAAGGATCCTCAGCTGCACAGCAGCGCCGAAGCACCGCCGCGTTTTACGCAGCGCGTCGCTCTTATTCACAGAAAAACAGGAAAGTGACTCCAAATGTTTTTCACTGCTTCTGCTTCTGCTTCTACAGGAGCCTTGAAGACACCGATTGACGCGGCAGAGGTAAGACAGGGCTGTTTCTGACATTTTACTTTTTCTTTATTCCAAAAAAACAGGCAGAAAAAATGTTAAAATATTAGATTTATCACCTGAAATGACTTCTTTCGTTAGGCCTTGAAGTGATTTTCACTGAACCTGGAGTGATTTAAGAGGAGGGAAATAACTTTAGTGAATTTAAAACTTACCAACACCTAAACTTTCAGTCAAATTCATGAGTTAAGTTTTTACGCATTAACATTTCGATCAGAATAAAAATCCGCCCGCTTTTAATAGAATACAGAACATATTTAAACTATTTATATAACAAGTTTAAATCTATGTGACTAAGTGACAGGTATTGTGAATAATTTTTAAGGTCGTATACACACACAATCTCAGCCACATGCAGCCCTGATGACACCGAGCGGAACATCCTTCACCGCTTTGGCTCTCTGCTTTATTCTGCAGATTACAGACAGCCGTGATAAACGCGGTATAATACAAACTAAAACAAAGCCCCTCGGGGGACGTTAAGTGCGTAATGTGCACGTACAGTTGGTCCCAAGCAGAGAAGAAACGAATCAGCAAATTAATTTGAAAGTATTAGAAAGGCCGGGGAGGACGTCTGCTGTCAAAACCTATTTTCCTGCTTTAATCTGGGATGGGAGGCTGCCTGCAGGGCTGGTGTGGAGGGTTGAACCGCAAACACTCCCGTTCACTCTCATTTCTACTACAAGGACATTTCCACTGTTTATTTTAGTTTGCAGCCTGACATCAGGGTGCGTCCAGAAAAAAAACCCTTGAAGTTCAAGTTAACAAAATGGACAATTTAGGGTGGTGAAATATTTTTTTTTTCTACATCTGAAAATGAATACTGATAGTTTCTCCGACCTTGCAGTTTTTATTTCCACTCTCCATCCCTGGCTGCGGGTGCCCGAGCCTCTCCAGTTCTGACCCCCGTCTCCCGCGCGCACAGAAGCGGCCCAGAGAGAGAGAGAGAGAGAGAGAGAGAAAGAGAGAGAGAGAAAGAGAAACATCTGCTCGGTACAAAATGATTTCTCTAATCTTCCTCGGAGGAACCTGCTCAGCACCGACCTCAGACAAAACAAAACAAAAAACCCTAACGCCGATTTTAATTTATAAACACGCACTAGTCGCAGGGGAATTGAACACAGCGCCGAATAATAAGCATTTCTTAACGCAACACTCGCTGGTGAATGCAGTGATAGGGGCCACTTATGTGCAGCGCTGCAGCCAAAGGCGTGCATGCATTTCAATAACTTTGTTATGTGAAAAGAAAAATCTGAATTATTGTCTTGATTATGCTAGAGAAAAAGAGGAAAGTGTTACAAGTGTGTATAGAAACAGGCAATATATAATAAAAACAGACTTTAAAACCAAGGATTCTATTAAAATTCTTCATTAAATGTTTAAACTATGTGTTTAAAAGCCTGCAGCTTTAATTAATATCTGCGTTAAAAATATGCCACACACTGCCTTTGTGGAGTATGAAATCATAAGGACTTTATTATTGAAGACTTGGGTTATGACACTGGAATAAATAAACAGATAAATGTTCAACACGCAAAAAGGACAACTGCACCAGATGTGGAGCTCTAAGTGATGCACGTGGAAGCATATTTCTCTTCTTCAGAATACAATAAATAGAAACCAAAAGTTGAGCAAAAACGCACATGAACTGATGGTAGATCCACTTACAAGCAGCTTAAAAGGATAAACGGCAATAAATAATATATATTTTTTGTTTTTGATTGCATGAATCCTGACAAAAAAAAACAACAAGTGGATTATGGAAGCTACTGGTCAGAGCAGTGATGAAAATATACAACATGAGACTTTTTTTTTCTTCTTAAACACAGATCTTTTCTTTTGGTAAACTGCTTTCAAGCCAAGACAATTAAAAAAAAAAAAAAAAAAAAAAAAAGCAATAGGAAAGTTAAGATTTATGCAAGATTTATGAATGCTAACACATTCCCCCTTTAAGATATTTTACATGTAAAAACGTTAAAGTGAAATAATTAAAACACAGTCAAGTAATGATGTAGCTTGAAAAGACTGATATGTTAACTCTTTTTTGTCCTTTTAAAAGTCCAACTGAAACAACTTCTCAACATGGTGCAAAAAAGAAAAAGGATAAATCCCCTCATTAAACCCAGTTGTGCTGTACCTCAAACTCACTGGTCTCACTGCATCATTATATGCAAATATCTCACCGTCTGACAGGGTCTCTTGTCTCAGACATATTTATATTACATACATGTACCGTTCTTGGTAAAGCAAAGGACAATTAAAATAAAAAACAAACACTGTCTATAAGTGGGACAGTTTGAGTCAGTAAAAAGTTGGTGCAAAGGCCTCTTAATTCAGCCGAGTCTCTGCGGTTCATTTGACCAAAACAACAACCACGTGGAAAACAGGACTCCAGTAACTGATAGAAACGTCTAGGAGAGCCACTATCAAATAATAATCATGGTAATATTATTAATAATAATGATACATTTCTTTTATCGGCTACATTTGTTGGTTGTGTTTCTGAAATGACAATCATTGAAGCACACACTTCTCCTCTTTCTTGGCCATCTTTCCTTTGTTCTGCTCCAGCGTCCTCTCCAGGTGCTCGTCCTCCTCCTCGGCTCTGCGGAGGGCAAAGGTCAAAAGGTCAGATGTGTCAGGGAGAAGGGGGGCGGGGGGGGG